TCCAGTAGCTTCTTATTATCGGAATGAAGAGCTTTCCAGACGGCCGCAGAAGCGCATCTGAAAGCGCGCAATGCAGTGATAATCTTTATTCGATAGTTAGCCAAAAGCCTCTGCGAGGATAACTGGAGGTTGGATGAGTGTAGATTTCGTGATGATGGGTTATTATTAACAGGTTCCAGTGCAGCAAACTAAAACGCGGAGTCAAACATCATAACGGCAAATGGGTTCTAGAATGTGACATCTTAACTGTTTGACTCTTGGTTTGTTTTGCAGGGAAAGCTATCCGGATTCTTCCTACCTGACCAGGGTGTGCAATGCTCTGCATGCCAAAGGAGTGGAGTAATTGTGTTCTTTCTGCTGCTCATGCTGCGGCCGACTGCAGAATGTCCACGGCAATACACTCTGGGCAATTTTGGGGCAATCGTTGTCATTGGCAGTTGTTATCGGCCATATTCACTGGAAAGAGCACTTATTATTGGCAGCTATGGCAACTTGGTACGGCAGTGACACAGAATGTGGACGGAGTTATTTTGTCTATAAAACATAAATCAGTGCCGAATATATTGCCCGTGATGATTCCCATAAAATTGTCTCGGTGTATCGTGGTGTTCCAGAGGCTGGCTCGTGCCATGTTCGAGAAACTCTGAAATACATTTGGCAGGGTCATCGTTAGGGATTTTTAACTGTTTCAGTGATATTAAGTTGACGAGAACTCGCGAAAGAAACTTCCCTTTTACAATTTAAGTATAGTTAACTTTAATCCCTACGCATCGCAGTTATATCGCTTGGGTTTGAAGAGCAATTTTGAAAAGTGTAAAAAAAAATGATTGCTCACCACAATCACAGTGTTGTTCAATTATTTAGCATTTGAAAGGGGCTTCTTAGCAATCGCTCTTCATTTCAATAGACCTTAAAGGTTTGCCGCTGAGCCTCCGTTATGTATTTTCCCGCACACTGTTGGTTCAATTTCACAAGATTCTGCATTTGGAGGATGTGGCTTTTATACCGAGAATTTCCAGCAATGCAGGGTTTCCAAATTTACATTGCTGATGACCTACCATGGGCCCTCTCTCTCCAACTCTACTATTTTTGATGCATTCAAATACGAATTAAGTAGGTACACACCGCACTTGCCTGATGATTGCCAAACAATTAACTTGACGTGTCACATGACAAACATGTAGAGTACACACGTGCACGCAAAATCGCTCTTGTCATGTGGCACAACCGCCACCATTCGTCACTGTAGATGTCACCACAGCGCTTGTGCCAGGCCAGGTGCATGTTGAGGCCACGTGGTATGTCATTGATGGCTCGCTGGCAGGAGGTGGCACATAATTTCTGTGTTTGAGTTGGCACGCTACACAACTTGAGACACACATGCAATGACAAAGATCCCCCGTTTAGCCTATAACATATGGTTAGGGCATGTGCTGTTGGCAAGTATCTGTTAAGGCCGATGCAGCACACATGGGGGTAGGTGGCCAACATCCCACCTGGCCGCCTTTGTCTCCCCTGTGCTGATGTTTCCGAAGACAAAGATTCCCCGTAGAACCTAAACAAGCTGTTGGGGCAAGTGCTGTTAGCAAGTAGCACCTATGAACGCCGGACTGGCACATGACAGGGTGGGTGGCCAGCACCACGCATGGCCGCATTTGTCTCCCATGTGGCAATGTTTTTAAACATCGCACCAGGTATTGAATTGAGGCTGAGTCGACCTAGGGGAGGCCCAGGACCAGTTCAGATAATCGTCACTGGTGTTGGCCGTGAGCGGGAATCGAACCTGGGTCGTCGGGTTCGTAGCGCAGCGCGTACAAACATGATCTCTCTTAATTCGAATCCACACTCATCACACGCAATGTGTTTTAGCAATCATCAGTTGCGTGCAACGTGTAACGGCTTGATTTGTATTCTAATTGTGAAATACGACCTCCCATGGTTTGTCGCAAGGAATGGAGTTTGAAGAACTCTCGTTTGAGGTGGTAACAAAAAAATAATCGGATAAGTGTAAACGGGTGTGGGGTCATGCCATCCCAAACCTACATGGATATCCTCATCATAGCTGCTGAATGAAGGCCTTCCCAAACTCATCGCCATGCAGATTCGCTCTACTTATCGTTAAAATGTTTTTTAAAAGTTGCCAAAAATTAATTATCCAGATGTACACACCTTTACATGCCATGTGTATACACAAATTCACTGTCGGCTTATTGAGATGTTCGTATTCTGATAAAAGTGTACATTCCACTGTAATAACATTTACTCTGGTTACTTGTTTTATATATAGTATATATTGTATATGCATACAATGCACTTTAAGAGCCAGTTTTATGATACTGTTTTTTTAAAAAAAAACAATAAATAAGACTTGGGAAGAGATGTGAAATATTTTTTTATACAGGAGGACCCGTTTTTGAAAACGCTTTCGCCAATCTACTGGACTATGATTTACTATCACGCATTTGTGAAGGTTTAATAAAAAAAGTTGTCTTGTAAAAAGAACCTTTGTGTTTTATTGCAGCTTTCCGTATGTTTTTTTGGTGGGTTAGAGCGCATAAATATAAATGTGTCGTGAAACCCGCCACCACCTGACACAGCCAATTAGTAAGCGTTGTCACGTAAACAAAACATGCCAATTTGTTACTAGTTCAGCAACACCGGTGTGTTGGAGAGTAAACCCACAACATTTTCAATTCGATTACAGTGAAGTTTTCCTTGATGAAAACCAGCTATTATAAATGGAATTACTATTATATTCTTGGTTCTTTCGGTAAAGTCACGTTGAAGGGAAACAATAAGGTGTGAAAACCTGATGATGACTTTGTGTTACAGTCGAAACGTCGTGAGAATTTAATTGTTTTATATATATTTTATTGTTTCCCTTTAACGTGACTACCGAAAGAGCTAAGAATATGAATTACTGCAGTCACGAAAGCTTTAAATCAAAATTTTTATCAAAACATTTTCCCATTAATTATAACTGGCATCATCGGCGACAGCCAGCACAAATCTGGCTGTTTTGTTTACGTGACAAACTTTAATAATTGGCTGTGTCAGGCGGTGGCGGGTTTAACGACACGTTTATATATTTACGTGATCTAACTCTAACAAAAGTATCTTATGGTTAGAATCATTAGCGTGCGTTTTCGCCAAAATTATAATACAATTGTTGCGGTTCGTTCATTGAGTTTTTGAGCCAGGATGGGCTAGGCCTGGGCAACGACAAAAATAACTGAAATAACATTTTTGTTACAACTTTAATCAATCTTATTTATGATTTATCATGCCATCTGGGAACACGTGTAACTGTTGGCGTCACGCCACAGGATTAAATCCATTTCCGTTTTGAATTCTCGCAGTGAGAAACGTTACCACCCTATATTGGTAAACGGCCCTTATCCGTGCCTATCTTATTGCGGACCAATTCAGACCTTATTAAGTCACCCCGCGCCCTTATAAATCTCAACGTTCATCCTACAAAGTCTCATCACAAGCGAGAAACACAAACAGACGAATGTTTTGCCCATATTGAAACGGCTGTACGCCGTGTGGACCTGGAAAGGCAATGTTCCCTGTACAAGAATACGGGGTCAACCGTATGGGTTGACACGGTATGTGCATTACAGTCTGTCGTTAGCCAAACCTGGGGCACACATTGACATTTTTTTTGTAAATATAAAATTTTAACCGAAATTGCAGAAGTGGCAGTAGGGAGCCGTCCATAAATGACGTCACGCGATTTTTGACGATTTTTGACCCCCCCCCCTCGTCACACGGCGTCACAAAAAGTCAGACCCCCCCCCTCAAATATGACGTCACAAAGCTCTGCCCCCCTCCCAAACCATATTTCCATTTTAAAAATAAAACATGCTTCAAATCACTTTAAACTATTGTCATTGTAGTGCGTATTTAATGTGGCGCTGCACTCTGATGTTGTAGGAGTGTTGTTATAACAATTAGTGTTATAACAATTCTATATTTATTTAAAGTTGCGCATTTTGATGTGACATCACATTTCTCACCCCCCCCCCCTCGTCACACATCGTCACAAATGTCTGACCCCCCCCTACCCCAGGTGCGTGACGTCATTTATGGACGGCCCCTAGAAATGATGGCTGTATCATACTTATGATTCACAACATGAATGAAAGACTGCGTAATTTGAGGTCTGTCCACATTTACTCCGTCTGATTAGTTTCTTATTTCTTTACACAGTGTAAGATTTGTATTGCAGTGCAACGTTATCGTGTGTGTGTGTGCGTTACTACACGGAGGTGGGACACCCCATTGGGGTTAATGTTCTTGTTCAATCTCCCGACACGTAAGTTAAAACCGTGCAAGTTTCTTAAATTCAATTCCTCCTCCACCTCTGCCCACCCAGCAGTAAACGTGGGGAACGTCACGGCTGGTCGACCGGCAAGTCGCACGCCGTGGGGTAAAGTGTGGGTACAAATTATTGAATTGGGATTTACAAAGCGACCTTTGCACCCGTTTCCTTATTGCCATATTTGGCGCGTGGTTTCCGCCTCCCCTCAATCTGTCTCCGCCCCATGGCTCTCGGACCCCGCCCTCTTTGTTTGAACCCGCCCCTCCCCCTCGAGCATCTCCCCCTCCCTCAATTATCGGGCCCCGCCCCTCCACTGTCTCCTTGTTCTCTAGCCCCGCCCCCTTATATACTGTAGTCGTCTTGCTATCCTTTGTCTTTCAGTACAGTCACGTAGATAGAAAATAATAAAATTAGATAAAGATACAAAATTTAAAATAAAAGCAAAAAAAACCCACGACGTTTCGATCGCAACACAAGCGGTCTTCCTCAGGCGGAGAGAAAAGAGGGGGCAAGCCTCCAAGATTATGATTATCTGACCCCGCCCCCTAATTATATGACCACGCCTACCTAATTATCTTACCCCGCTTCTCTGGGTCCTGCCCCTTTTGTTCGGACCCCGCCCCCTAATTCTCTGGCCCCGCCTCCTGGTTACCTGGCCCCGCCCCTCCCGCACGCGCGCGAGAGAGAGAGACACACGTTGCCGTCTGCCATGGCCGACTTCCACATCAAGAACAAGCGCACGGCGCTCGAGCGGATAGAGAAGGCGCTGTCGCCTCTCTACTTCACCGACGTGAACCTGCGGGGCAGGTAAAGTGCGTGTGCGCAGGGCGCCACCTGCACTGCACGTGCACCTAGCCTGGCACACCTCCGATTAGCACGGTTGGCGACGTACCGTGCGAAAGAAGTTCAACGTATAGTACTGTACACGCGCTCGCGTGCACCTAGCCTGGCACGAGCGCCCAAAGGGGAACCTCGGCCGTTAGCTTCGTGACGAATGGAGGAGGATTGATGTTGATGCTGCTGTTGTTGTTGTCACCCGAACCGCAGTCCGATTCCGGGCTCGCGGCTTTAGACATCAAGCGGGGATGGAGCTGCATCAAATCTGACCCAACTCGTGCCGCGCCACCGTGTTGAAGCGTGGCCAAACATGCCTCGCCTTGCCATCCACCAGGCCTTCATCCAGCAGTGGATCGACAGAGGGCTGTGGTACAGTGGGTCTCTCCGGTTATACCGGTGTGATGTCCACTACAGAGGTCCTGGTGGCCTTCAGCTGTCGGCGACCCGACGTTAAATGAGGAATTTGGTGCGGTGTGTAAAACATTATAGCACTGGGGGGGGAGGGAGACAAAGGCGGCCGTGCGTGGTTCTGGCCACACCACCCCCACGTGCATTCATCGGCCCTTTGCCACAAACCGAACAGCACCTGCCCCCCTCCCTGCCCACCTTTAGGATGTTTGTTAATTTTAACTGCGGTTAAAGTGCAGCGACGTTGGGTGCAAGTTAGTGTGAAGATTAACTTGAGAATACTATCATTTACAGGCCCATTGTCAATCCACTGCTGGATGAAGGCCTTCCCACGGGCGTTGTCACTCGCCACTCATGTTAGCCGTGGCCGGGATATCAAACCCAGGTCATGGATTGTCATTGACATTAAACATTTGCTTCGTATCCGTCACCCGCCGCATGTTTACCCCTGATGAGCATATTAACTAGGTGACTACGGATGTGGAGATGGAGCGTGGGAATCGATCAGATTCCCCTTCCTTTGCATAGCCCAATGCCTGGCCCCTATCCAGCAACGTAGGCCCCGGTGCAGTTTCACCGCCTGCACACCCGACAGCTTACACCACTGGGTTGTATTGTGTTGCGATGCTGTGCGGAGTGGTGGCGTAGTGGTTAGCGCACCGTCCTTCGAACCCGGCGACCCGACGTTTGATTCCCGCTCAGCACATACCAAACTGGGTTACAGATATTTGAATCAGTCCGAGGCCTCCCCTAGGGTCGACTCAGCGTTAAATGAGTACCTGGTGCCGGGCATGGTGCTGGTCACCCACGTTGGCCTCCTTCATAGGTATTCGCTCACAGCACCTGCCCCAATAGTCTGTTACAGCTATGGGGGGGGTGGTGGGAATCTTTGCTTCTGGTGATACAGGCTGTATGAAGATGCCCGGCCGGTATCTGCATTGGCGGTGCATCATGCTGGAGGACGCATTTCCTTCCAGGACGCCCAGTCTGCTACGTACGAGAGGACGCAGGTCGGGGATTCCTATGGACCCACGTACGTTCCCACACGCACAAAGACACACACACAAAGACACACACACAAGCTCTCTTCACCACTGCTACTCACTCGCTGTACATCGTGCACATCGAAGGCCATGGAATCCTCAAATGATGATTGCATCGTATTTACGCTCCCCGGTCGATTTCCATTGGATTCTGCTGCGGCGGCTGTATGGTTAGCGCACCAGGCTTCCAATATGCCGGCTCAATTCCATCTCCAGGCGTGGCAGTTGTAACAATGGCCATGTCCTTATGTACACACTCCCAACAGCTTTTTTTTACGTGTACCCCTTGTCCGAGCAGCACACAATTGGTTGCAAACACACGGCCGTGTTTCCCCCCTCAGCTGGTCCACACACTGGTTCCAAGTACACGTGGAGGTCCCGGAGGAGTGGACGTGCAAATCTGGCGACGACGACGACGACGACGAGTGTGACGAGGTTCACCTGCTGTGGGAGTGCGAGGGCGAGTGCCTCCTGTTCCGAGACGGGCAGCCCGTGGCAGGCCTCACGACAGAGGGCGAGAAGACCAGCTACGTCGTTGGGCGGGCGAGACGCAGGACCCCCCCATCGTCGTCTTCGTCGGCCGCGGTGGGATTCTCCGGCACGGCCGGGGATGCGAGCGGCAGAAGGAAGGACGCGGAAAACGAGCCGGCGACTGGGAAAACCTCCGCGCCAATCGACCTCACGACGTCCACGAAAAAAGCCCTGCCACCGGCGCGGTCCTTCACAGCCTACGTGGAGATGGCGTGCAACGGCCTGTTCGGCGCCGGCAGGGGCTCCATGATCGCACCGCCGGACCCTGAGCGGAAGTTTGCGCTGAAGCGCGCGGCGGTGGCGCTGTTCCGGCGCGATGTGTACGAGCTGCTGACGGATCTGGAGGTGATCTACGAGGTGGCTTGCGGCCTGGCAGGAGAGGCGGACGGACGTGGCGGCGAGCAGCTTGGCTACCGCGCCCTCTACTGCGGCAACGCCGTTGCGAGCGCCTGCGCGGACGCTCCGCGGCCCGGCCCGGCAGGGGCCGCGCCGGCCGGCGACGACAGTGGCGACACGCGGGAGTGGGTGCGGCACGCCCGAGCCATCTCGGGGGCATTTTTCTCCGAGCCGTGGCCCGGATGCGGCCACGGGAAGGAGAGAGGGGCGGCCGTCGCCGGGGGGTGGGCAGCCGGCTGCCGGGGAACGGTGGTGCACGCCATGGGGCACTGTCACATCGACACGGCATGGCTCTGGCCCTACGAGGAGACGGTGCGCAAGTGCGCGCGCAGTTGGGCCACCGCCCTGCAGCTCATGGATCGTGACCCCGAGTTTACGTTCGTGTGCTCGCAGGTAAGGAACCAGAGTGAGGTGGGAGTGAGGTGGAGGGAATGGAGACTAGACGTTTCACCGCGGCAGCATCCCAATCAGAATCGGAATCTTTATTTATCCTGCAGAAGTGTGTGTAGCAGTGGGTCTGTGTACATTAATGAAACTATGAGGTTATATTCTATGGGAATGAACTTCTGACCTCCGGTGACGATAATTGCACACAGTCTGTTGTATTTTCAGCGGCTTAGAATTACGTACTTTTTGTTGCTTTGAGGACTCGTGTCAGCATTCAGTTCACCTACTTGATTGGGCTATTTGTGCAGAGTACATTGTCACAGTTTGGACAAGAAGGGAAGGAGGAGGATGGTAAAAGAGACATTAGTTAGTTGTGTACAGTCCAGAATTTAACCCAAAAGCCTTAAGACATAAACCTGACTAATACCTGTGCCCGATGTCATCAGATCACACAAGCTAAGCAGGACAGAGCCTGTATATGGCTCGGATGGGTGACCACAATGCACACAACAGGCAATCAGGGCTGCGGGGCTTAGGGTGGATATGTAAATAAATAAAAAACTTTACTCTTTTTACTTTACCAGGTAAGGCCCACTGAGCTATATAGCTCTTTTTCAGAAGTGACCTCGCCACAAATGACAGCTCAACAAAGTGGCTTATCATGTGGTCATTTATAGCAGCCAAATACTCTAAACGTATGTTCATTCTGAATGTAGATGAAAAACCGGAGGACCCGGAGAAAAATCCACGTGACCACAAGGAGAGAGAGAGAGAGAAACGCAAACTCCAAATATAAAACAGGCGTTATGGTCGGGATCGAACCCACGACCTCTTGTGTACCAGGCAAGGCAGATAACATCTTGCCCACCACGGTGCCCCCTGTGTGATCATGAAATATCCGACGGTCGGATACGCGACGTTGTACTTAACCGCCATCCTCTGTGACCCCTTCATCTGCTCGTCCTCTTACCCGCACCCCCTCTCCCATCTCCCCGCAGGCCCAGCAGCTGAGCTGGCTGAAGCAGCGCTACTCGTGCTCGCTGTATCCGCGCGTGCGCGCCGCGGTGGCGCGCGGGGCCTTCGTGCCCGTGGGCGGCACGTGGGTTGAGTTTGACGGGAACCTCCCGTCGGGCGAGTCCCTCGTGCGCCAGTTCCTGCTGGGCCAGCGCTTTTTCCTGCACGAGTTTGGTGCCCGCTGCGACGAGTTCTGGCTGCCCGACACCTTCGGATACTCCGCTCAGCTGCCGCAGGTGACCCGAGCTGACTGGTGCGTCGCGTGGTTCAGCAAAGGTTAAAGGCGCGGCCCTGCAATTGCTTGCTCGCGCCGATGCTGGAGGTAGGGTCTCCACTTGTTATTTTACCAAGGCCCACTGCGTAATATAGCTCTTTTTCAGAAGCGCATTGTAAACCACTTCCAACTTCACAAATTCAACGGAGGCAGCAGTAGCTGCAGCGATTCACTCAGTCTCGTCTGTCATTGCGTGGCTTTCAAGCTTGGATATAGATCTCTAAGATGTGATTCACAGAGCCATATGCAAGAAGTAGTGAAGGAGTGTGTTGCTACCACACAATGATATTACTAAACTAAATTATGTTTATTTCACCAGGTAAGGCCCACTGAGCTGTGTCGCTCTTTTTCAGAAGCAACCCGGCCACAAATTAGAGCTCAACGAAGTGGCTTATCGCGTGGAAATGTATAGCAGTCTTAAACGCATGTTTATAAATGTGGAGGGAAAAAAGCGGGAGGAGCCGGAGAAAAGTCCAGGCGACCATGGGGAGAACATCCAAACTCCAAATATACAGGCGCCAGGGTCGGGATGGAACCCATGATAGTCCTACTGTATGTATACCAGGCGAGGTAGTACACATCTCGCCGCGAAGGTATTTGGCTATTCCACGTTGATCAGACATGTAGGAAGAGGTGCGCGTACTCACACTTTACTTCCATCGCACGTGCCCTGTTCATCGACTAACTGCGGTGTTCCCGCCTATACTGCCGGGCGGACAGAGACAGTGGTGGGGAATTTAGAAACTTTCCCCATTGTTTGAACTGCGGCACCGGGAGTTTGAACCGGCGACCTCTGCATTGCAAGTGCAGGGTGCTAACCCTTAGACGTCTCACTTGAGAGTCCTCAAATTTACCAACACATCACGTTATCAGAAGCAACCTCGCCCCCCCCTACTGACAAATGAATGGCCACTTGCAGGCCACTGCTGCCCATCACCTTGTGCGACACAGGGACAGCTTTTGTCAGGGGGGTCCCCTCGGCAAAAAAAAAAAAGTATTGGGCATTGGAATGAATGGGATGAGAGGTGATGCAAGGCTCTGTGAGATGCCGAGGCATTTCGGCGCCCAATAAATGCAAATCGTCGGTGATGTTGCGAAAGGATCGAAGTCCCAAAGGAATTGAGAAACACAATTGAAGAGAGCACTCCAGATTGGTAGTAGCACAGGTGAACTTAACACGTTCCTTCGGAGTGGGCAGGTAGGAACTTGGTTGGACAGCGCATTCGTGCGATCCGTGTTGGATACTGTAGTCGTGTTGGAGGTTGCAGCTGTTACTATTGCATCTGATGAATGATTCTTGATTTATTGCTGATGTCGGTCTTTAAGTTCATGCAGCTGCTGCAGCAGCAGCAGGTCGCTACCCCTGTGCTGTGACGTGCACCACGCGCGCCAATCCACCTGACCTGGTCCTTGAACGGCCACGATGCCGTCGTGATCGCGCACCACGGTGCACGATGCCGAGCAGGGCGTAGACGCCGCAGTCTTAGCCGTTCGGTTGCTGCGGCACACAAGCACCGTGGCGATCGCCACCGGCGTGCGCGCCGAACCGGCGAGCACGACCCGGGCCACCACCGCGCTGGCGAAGGCCGCGGTGCTCTTGGCGTTGCGCGCCTGCCCCCCGCGCAGCCATTGAGTCTTAACAGCACGGCAGTCGACCTTGTGCCGAAACTCCAATTACGCGGATGGAATTCCGGATACGCACGACAGGCAGACAGACAAATAATCCCTGGTGGGCAGTGTGGAACCTGTTGTTCCTACCTGTAATATACCCTCCAGTGCATCCAACAGCCAAATGACGTTGGATGCACTGGAGGGTACAATAAACTAACACATCTGGTTTGCGTTGTCAAGTTTTGGGCCACCACTGTATTAATTCCCTAATCGCAACACAAGTTTACACAAGTTTTATCCACATCGGATCATCTTCACAAGAGTTGTTGTGCATCCCCGTTACAAACATACGGACAGCTGCTGCGTGTGTGCGTGTGTCGAACTTCTTTCGCACCGTACGGAGCCAACCGTGCTAATCGGAGGTGCGGGGCGGGGGGGGAAGGACAATATGGAACTTTAGTTGTAAAGCAGTTGGCAAGCCGACCAACGTCCCTGCCCCCACCTCTCCTTGACCGCCCCCCCCATCCCCAACAGATCATGACGTCGTGCGGCGCGCGGCGGTTCGTGACCCAGAAGCTGAGTTGGAACCTGGTGAACACGTTCCCCCACTCGACGTTCCACTGGGAGGGGCTGGACGGAACGCGAGTGCTCACCCACTTCCCCCCCGCCGAGTCGTACGGGTGCAAGGTGAGGCCACCCACGGAGAGAAGCGAGGCAGCGCAGCCACCGGACTGGCATCGAGTCGCTCTTTCGGTGTTTTCGATGAATTGCCACGATTGGCGTTTTTTGTGCTACAATTCGCAAATTGAATCCTTCGTTCAGATTTTTACCACTTGGTTTGTATTGTTTCTGTTCTTGTTTTACCTCTATCTTGTTGGTACAGTTTTGTACGATCCATGAGCCGAAATCTGATGTTAGCATCTCATATGCATTGTCAATTTCATTTGGATTATTTACAGCATGTATAGTCTTGTTTGCATTTTCAATCTCTTTGTGTCATTAGTCTGTTGCATATGTTTTATCTTGTTTGTATCATCCAGCCTGTTTGTATTGTCTGTTGCTTTTTATATTAGTCCGAGGGTGTTAAAGCATATCATTTACATAATTAATTAATAAAATATTCTGTCGTGTATGATTACATGTGGTATCATGAGCGTAAGGCATTAATTTTTTTTAATTAATCGAGGAAACCGATACACACCCTGATATTTTAAGATATGTTTTTCATGAAATGAACGTTACTCTGAAGCATGGCGGGTGGAAAAGAAAGTGCTTTCCCCTAGTGTGGAAAAGAGGTCACTTGAAGAGGTGTCAGAAGCAATTCTCCGATATCTGCTTCCACAGGGCCGTTCTCTGCTAGCGACCTGAATGGATGCTAGAGACTCGAATGGTTTCTTCATTGCATGACGTGATGCCTGACGGCGCAATCAGGTTTAAATTGGGGGAACGGAAAATTTAAAAAAAACCTGCTGCAAATAAGAATTTCCATGTTAACCGCTGCTCTTGTACCGCGTCGGCCCAGGTGACCGTCGAAGAAATTCTCAAAAGCGCTTCAAACAACCGGGACAAGGGTCGCACGCAGCACGCCCTCCTGCTCTACGGCTTCGGCGACGGCGGCGGAGGCCCCACGCTGGCCATGCTGGACCGGCTGCGCCGCGTACGCAGCGTCGCCGGCTTGCCCCGTGCGACCTTCTCCACCCCCGCGCGATTCTTCAACGCGGTGGAGGCGGAGGTGGACGAGGGCGAGCGGGGCGGCGACGGCGGCGGCAGCGGCGGTTTAGGTCGTTTGTGCACTTGGAGCGGAGAGCTCTTTCTTGAGATGCACAACGGCACGTACACGACGCAGGCACGCGTCAAGCGCGGAAACCGCCGGTGCGAGGCGCTGCTCAGGGACGCCGAGGCGCTGTGCTGCCTGGCGCTGCTGGCTCAGAGCCCCGTGTACGCGGCTGAGCGCGCAGCAAGCGGTGCAGGAGACGGCTGCGGCGAAATACGAGATGAAAGTAAAAGCGGAACCGCCTCCGAGGGCGGTAACGCTTTCCCAGGAACCAACGCTTCCAGTGGTGGTACGGAGGGCAAGGCGAATGACGACGACGATGGTGATGATGATGATGAGGGCGACGATGCGATGGTGTTGGGATATCCCCGTCAGCAGCTGACGCGCCTGTGGGAGGGCGTCCTGCTGAACCAATTCCACGACGTGCTGCCTGGCAGCTGCACGCGCCAGGTAGCACGTGACGCTGAGGAAATCTACGGCGGAGTGGAGATCGACGCCGGGCAGATCGCCCGCGACGCCATGGCGGCTGTCGTGCAGCGCGAGCCGGGCGTCGGAGACTTCCCGCGTGACCCCATCGCGTTCTTCAACACGCTCGGCTGGGAAAGAACGGAGGTGGCAGCGTTGCCGGGCCGCGGCGTGAACGGCTACCTCGGAAGAGACCGATTCGTCCCAAATTCTAAGATTGTTTACGGTCGGTATGTGAAGGGCGACGCCCCCGTCACGGGACATGAGAGCGACGAGAGACGCAGCGACAAAGCCGATGGCGTAGATGGCCAAGAAGACGCTTCCGCTGGTCTGGTTCTCGTCACCGTTCCGGCCTTCGGCTATTCCGTCTACAGCGAAGCCTCACTGCTGGCCAGCGCGGCCAAGTCTCTCGCTGTAATACTGCACCACGAGTCTGACAGCCGCGCGGTCCTGGAGAATGATCTGCTCCGTGTGTCGGTGGATGGCGCGGGGCGGTTGACTTCGCTCATCCACAAGCCGTCGGGCAGGGAGGCAGTGACCCCGGGCCAAAAGGCGAACCAGCTGGTGATGTTCGACGACGTGCCGCTGTACTGGGATGCGTGGGACGTCATGGACTACCATCTGGAGACGCGGAAGCCTCAGGAGCGGACCTCCGAGCCGCTCCGGGTTCTCACGAACGCTGCGGGAATCCGCGTCGCCGTGCGTGCGTGCCTGCACCTGGGAGAGCGTAGCCGGGCGACCGTGGACATCTCGCTGGACGCAGGAAGCCCATTCGTTCGGTTCGATGTCACCGCCGCTTGGCACGAAAACCGCCGTTTCCTGAAAACGGAATTTCCCGTGGCGGTGCGCAGCAGCGGCGGCGAGGCCACGTACGAGATCCAGTTTGGGCACGTTCGCAGGCCCACGCACCGCAACACGTCGTGGGACTGGCCGCGCTACGAGGTGTGGGCCCACCGCTGGGCTCACCTCGGCGAGCACGGCTTCGGCCTCGCTCTGCTCAACGACTGCAAGTACGGCCACTCGGCACGCGGGAACGTCCTATCGCTCTCGCTGCTGAGGTCGCCCAAAGCGCCGGACCCAGAGGCTGACATGGGGGAGCACACGTTCGCGTACGCGGCCATGCCGCACCAAGGCAGCTTCCAGAACGCCGGCGTTATCCGCTGCGCGAGCGCCTTCAACCATCCGTTGAAAGTGCAGCGCACGTCCTCCAGCAGCGCGGCGGGTGGCGCCCAGAATTCCTCCGTGGCTTCCTCCGTTGCTCCGGAAAGCTCGAGTAAGCAAGATGCGGCACTGACCGTTGACGCCGCGCCTAGCGAGGTATTCAACGAGGAAGCGTGCCGGAGTCTTCCTGCCGCGCCCAGCGGCGGCCCGCGTGTCAAACAGATTTCCCAGCGCGGCTTCTTCACCGTGGAGCCGCCCTCCGTGGTCGTGGAGACGCTGAAGCTTGCCGAAGGTTGGCCTGGCCACGCAGGCGGCCACTGGGCCGGGACCGGGGTGGTGCTGGTGGTACGTCTCTACGAGTCCCACGGCGGGGCGGCCGTGGCGAGGTTGCGGTGCCGTTGCTCGCCGGACCTGCCGCTCATTTCAGCTGTGCCGTGCAACATGCTCGAAGACGCCGACGACACCGAGCCACCGCTTGTCGTCAAGGACGAAGGTTATGATGATAAAGAGAATGTGCCTGAGCAAGTGACGGAAGGCAATGACGGTCCCAATCAAAAACAGGCAAAGAGACCTCGGTCCGGTCCGGCCTGGCGCTGTGTCCTCGTGCCTTTTAAAGCGTTCCAAATTCGCACGCTCTCTCTGCATTTTGGCCAGCCCACACTTGTGCTGTAAACGAAAGTTTTTTCAAATTGCATTGACAAGATAATGACGCTACCCTTGAGGTGCTGAGAATATCTTCGTGTTAAATAACTCCACCTCCTCCAGGCACTTGGTGTTTTGCACCAGAGACAGACTTTGATGTCTTTCTGCTTTATCTTGCACCGATGTTTGCATCGCATGCATCGGTTTTAACGGTTCAAGTAGCAAACAAAAGTCCCATAGAGAGAACACTGATAGACGCACGAGGCGGCATCTTTAGTGCTGCAGAGAAGAGAATGTGACCAGAGACCAAATAATTGAAGCAGAATGACGAAGTCAAACTAATAAACGTAGTGATTTGTCAAATCCATTGTTAGAGGAAGCCCCATATCGGTCATGAGGGTTGTTGTAAATTTCACCGCGCTGGGCGGAACAGAATTGGTGTACACGTCACCACTGATGTTAGCTTGGATTCAAACTCTGGTCCCCTGGTTCACAACGCAGTGCGCAAACCACTGTACCGCCACACCCACCCCTTGATGCTTAATTTATTACAAGTTTGTTCATAATCGATTGTGAGAATCGCGATGTTGAAAGAGGAAATTATGGTGCGAGACATTGATTCAGCGGCAGTATTTCTGTTCGTCCAAATGTTTTGTTTGATTAAAGTCGCCGATTTTTTTGCCGAAATTATGCCGATTCCTCATGAAATTCGCCAAAAAATGTGGATATTGACAATCGTTATAGAAACGGATCTTTTTTGCAAGAAGGACCTGGATTTCTAGGTGATTTCTCAAGTCTTATAAAATCCTTGGTTGCTAAAATAATTGTCCGTTTATGTGAATAAAGTTTATGGCTTGAAAATAGTAGTGCCGCGTTTCACTCTGTGGTGATTGCTGGAATTGTCCTGTGTTGCCGATTTGGTTATGGCAGACAAACTTCCCAACGAGGCAGAGGGGTTGTCACATGACACACCACATGGTCCTGTAATCGCCATACAGGCGGACAGTGAAATTCACGACGATCTACATTTACTACGCAGAACTTGATTCACGATGCACCACATGGTCCTGTAATCACCATACAGGCGGACAGTGAAATTCACGACGATCTACATTTACTACGCAGAACTTGATTCACGATGCACCACATGGTCCTGTAATCACCATACAGGCGGACAGTGAAATTCACGACGATCTCCATTTACTACGCAGAACATGATTCACGACACATCCTCTGACAACTCCAAACACATTTGAAACCGGTCCGGTTTCCAATGTCACTTGGTTCGGAGCTTTTGTTATTCTCCAGTGTTTTTGTGGATTTTTTTTACCTCTTAAACCCTGTTAAATGTGGCTTACAAAAAGTAAAAACACATCGGCAAGCAAAGTTTATACCGTTTCTACTATGGCGACAATCGGGTCCGATTTATGACAGGGATTCCAGGAACGCATTGTGACATCGTAAAAGCTAAAAGCGGGCGACCGCCTCGACTGTGATTAAACAATTTGGTAGTGCTACGTTGGCAGCGATGCACACGAGCATAAATAACAAACAAACAAACTGAAAACATTAGTCAATACCACTGCCTTCTGTGAAGAAGGGCTACTTCCCACCGATACATCGCCATGTTGCGATTGCACAACTGCTGCGAGGCATCGCGCAATCTCGGGATTGCTGCAGTGGAGCTGGGGGCGTAGTGCACATTGGTTAAGCATGACGGGTGAAGCTTCTTCTGCATGGGAGATGTGGATTAAAAACAAGTAGAAAGTAAACCACGGTACTTTACAGTTGTTGAAAATGGCACCAAATAAATAGTACACGGATGTAAAGCATCACGCTGAAAAATAACACAAAGTGATTAAAGTAAAGCACTACATGTTCACCACTTAAGGAATTCGGCTGAGTGCAATTAAGAATAGGGCTCCGTTAATTCTTGCTCATGGTAGGTTTTTTTTTTAAGGAATGCCTTTAAAGTTCAAGAATTTGTCCATGGAGTGATCAACTCCTGAGAGTAACAATATAAATAACCTTGAACACAAACTTTGACCTATTTATTCCCTGCAGTGGGAGCTACCTGGTCACATTACAAAGCTTGCAATGGTGGAAAGAGTAACTTCACCCACTGTGACAGGTAGGCCTGTATGCGTATGACACTGCTGTGTATACAAAATGCACAAGACATTCCCATCTAAAACCTTGGTCTCTTTATGTTTTTGTACAGCCTCAACATTACAATTACAAACGCACCACACAGTTACTATGTATTAAGCCACAACACCTGTTTCCAGCATCAGAGGTACACATCAATAACTGATATGTATTTTAAACAATTCCAACAGTATTGAACTTAATGATAATATACAGTCCTTTGTCTCATCCACTGCTGGATGAAGGCTTCCCTACACCGTGTCGGTCATGGAGGTTATTTGATCATAATTCACCATAAACGTTAGGCTGAGACATACATGGGAATTGAACTCGGATTCATATTCTTAGTTCTTTCGGTAAAGTCACGTTTACCGAAAGAACTAAGAATATGAATTACTGCAGTCACGAAAGCTTTAAATCAAAATTTAACTCGGATTGCCAAGTTCGTAGTGCAAGTGAACGACCAACGCACCGCTGCGCTTCTCAACACAGACGTCCTTCCATCATTATAATGGTCCAGACCGCATCGCAAGTGTCAGGGATCACCTCTTGTATCATTGTGACCATTGCGCCACCCATCCCTCACTGGGGTTCCTCTAACACAGCATTGTGCTGTAAAACCCTGCTAGCCGAGGTTGATTCCCGGCCACAGGTAACGTCGGTGGCGAGTGAGATCTGAACCGGTCGGTGCTGGACATCGCGCGGCTACGTTCTGGGCAACAGAGGCCGGTGGCAGCCAAATAATTGAATGTACCGTAGGTGGTTCGTGGTGGAGTGCTGGTGACCGTAACCCCCATGACCGACGCAAAAACGGTGTTTCAGGAGTCATTCATCCAATAGATCAACAAACGGCCGTGACGTTTGTTTGTATGGCACGTAAAAATGTTAATAATTTAAAACCAAAACTTGATCGGATAAAGATGGACCCACGCCCCAACCCTGACCGTTGGCTTGGTGCTGCCATGGAGACAGGGTCAGAGGTGCCCCAACCCTGACCGTTGGCTTGGTGCTGCCATGGAGACAGGGTCAGAGGTGCCCCAACCCTGACCGTTGGCTTGGTGCTGCCATGGAGACAGGGTCAGAGGTGCCCCAACCCTGACCGTTGGATTGGTGCTGCCATGGAGACAGGGGTCAGAGGTGCCCCAACCCTGACCGTTGGCTTGGTGCTGCCATGGAGACAGGGTCAGAGGTGCCCCAACCCTGACCGTTGGATTGGTGCTGCCATGGAGACAGGGTCAGAGGTGCCCCAACCCTGACCGTTGGCTTGGTGCTGCCATGGAGACAGGGTCAGAGGTGCCCCAACCCTGACCGTTGGCTTGGTGCTGCCATGGAGACGGGGTCAGAGGCGATGTGCGCGCAAGCGTTGGCGCACTTTCTCTGCCATGTCGGCCTCCTCCACGGAGCGGTTGTAAAACTCGAGCACGGCGCCGTGCGGGCAGATGAGATAGGTGATGATGGAGTGGTCCACCTGCGCGCACACGCATGGCAATGAACGGACGTCAGCCGCATTCGCTATACGCCGCCGGCCACCAAGTCACCCGGAACAACAGCGATACTATAATAGCGCCTGCGTTTACACTGCACCCGTAACCTAACGAAACGTCTCGGTGCATTGCTCTTTACCTCGGGGACCCCTTCCCCCACCCCCCTTGGAGCAAGGTGATCACAGCACCGGCCTGCTCAATAGGCATCAGTCCACCAGTAGAGGGAGAATTATGCATGTGATCTCGTTAGATTTTGGAAGCTAAGCCGGTTTGGGCCTGGTTAGTGCTTGGATGGGCGACCGTCATTCATGACTGGTTGTCTCCCCAATCTTTATTCCAAATGTGCTGTCAGCATCATGTGGAGAATGGCCAGATATATGGATATCATAGACCTACTTCTGAGATCACATCAGGTGGCTTTTGTTATCCTGATATAAGAGGGTGCTGTTACAGAGAAATTTTGTAACAGTATTTTATTTCTCATAACTGGAATGTAACCAAATTAAATGCAAATCCAAATTGATGGTGTTTTTTTTTTTTTATGCAGTCACAGATAATCTGGCTGAACCCATTAACTCACTACCCTTCAGAACCCACTTTAATTTAAACTTAACTTGAATTTTTCCAGGTGCGGCCCACTGAGCTATATAGGTCTTTTTCACAAGTGACCTGGCCACAAATGATCGCTCCACTAAGTGCCGTATCATGTGGCCGTTCATAGCAACCAAATAATAATGCTTGGGATGACTGTAAAACCCGGATTCAAACCAAGAATCCCAGCAATGCCAGCTGCATCTCGACCCCCGAGCTGCCCGACCACCTCTGTCTGCGCACGTGTGTAGTAGATGGGCCCCGCGTGTAACGTACCACGTACTCCTGGTCGGTGGGGTCACGTGGGCCGGGCTGGGCGTACACGCGGTAGGCTTTTGAGATCGCCGAGATCTGCTCCGGAGAGCCGGTCAGGCCGACCAGCCGTGGGTGGAAATCTGCGTGGCACGCGACAAAAGCTGCCGTAGTTTACGAGGCCGTTTCGCCAAGTACACAGGTAACGACAACAATAATAATGGTAATTCTGTAACTTGCGTCGGTGATATTTTGGCAAAAAATGTGGATCATGAATAAACACGACCCTGGTAGGTAATAAAGGTGCAGCCCTACAATTGCTTGCCAACGCCACTGCTGGCAGATAGGCCTCCACTCAAGGGAGCTCTTGAGGCCCTCGAAGGGTAACAGGCCTTCTCTTCCATACGGGTAAAATGTCTTTGAAGAGGTGGGAGTACCCATAATTTACCCCGCCATATGCGACCTGTCGACCATCTGTGGTGGACCCGTTTATACTGCTGGGTGAACAGGTAAGGGAGGATTTAATAAACTTTCTCCATTGTTTCAACGACCCTTGCCAGGAGTTTGAACCAGAGAGACCCCAGTGTGATAAACAGAACATCACGGCAGCATCCCTTTCATAACAACATTTCAAAATAAATTCTTCATCACGCTGCAAATAATGAAAGAATGAAGCAGGTTGGTGAAGGTGGGAAACCCCGTCGTGCCTTTGATGTATTGTGCTACAGCCGCGACGTCGTCCCTCTGCGGATCGATCGTCACGAACACAGGCTGCACCCTGGGCAGGTTCGTGTCCTTGTCTGCACACGCACGCAGCACACGCACGCAACACACAGCACACACGCAGCATACACGCGTCACAGGACCTAAACACGTGCCTGTCACTTGTCACACCGGATGTGAAACGTGGCGTCAGGTTCATTCACCTCGTCCGTTACATGGCGAGGTTGGCGAGATGTTAACTCTCTTGCCTGGTATACGGGAGGTCGTGGGTTCGATCCCAACCCTGACAGCTGTATATTTAGAATTTGCATGTTCTCTTCCCATGGTAGCATGCATTGTTCTCCGGGTTTTCCCCTCCACATTTAGAAACATCCATTGAAGAATATTTAGCTGCTATAAATTTCCATATAAGCCACTTCATTGAGCTATCACATGTGGCCAGGTTGCTTCTAAAAAAGAGCTACACAGCTCAGTGGGCCTTACCTGGTAAAATAAAATAGTTTAGGAATATCATTATGTGGTAGCAACACACTCCACTACTTCTTGCATATGGCTCTGTGAATCAAATCTTAGAGATCTATATCCAAGTTTGAAAGCCACATGATGGCTGCAGGTGAGGCCGAGTGAATAGTTACAGCTGCTGCTGCCTCCGTTGAATTTGCAAAGTTGGCAGTGGTCTACAATGAGCTCCACCGTTCGCAATGAAACCTGTGCGTCACAATGCACTCGAGAGTTTGCGATTTGCCTTACGGTTTTCAATGTGCTCTGTGGTTCACGTTGTGTCCCACAGTTTGGTCACCATCTTCGGAGTCACACTCCAGGCTTCCCTTGATTTTCCCACTTGTTAAGAGAGTCACAGGATCTGGTGTGAGTCGTGCAGATTCCTGCACTTTGAAAATTCCAAGTCTTTTAATTATTGACCACCACCCTCGGTGATTTTATTAAGTCATGATATTGAGTTATTGTTAGATTTGTGAATGGATTTTCGTGACCTATTTCGAAGTGGTTTTGGAAACCCTTCTATGGTCCGTGTGAAGCTCACGTACCTAGGGTGTGTACGACGCCCGATACTTTCTCCATTTCCTCTGGACACACATCGGGGCAGTGCGTGAAGCCAAAGTAGAGCAAGCTCCACTGACCGACCAGGAGGTCGTGACCCTTAACCTTGCGTCCACTCTGATCGGTCAGTTCAAATTTCACACCTCCCAGCCCAACGATGTGATCATTCAAACCTGGACAGACAACAAACACAGCGTATGAGCACACACACACAAGCACGTGCTTGTGATCACACACACGTGTGTCCAAACGAGGACACGAAAGTCATCCAAGAGGAGTAACAGTTTGAGAATGTTGGTAAAGATCGGTGAATTTCAGAGCTAACCGACACGGCATTGGGAGGCCTTTATCCACCAGTGGTTGGCAATGCTGTTCATGATTATTAAGTGTACTTTAGTGTACTTACGTACCTTGTTTTTCATACCGCAAATACACCCACCACCCGAAGAAGGCCGATCCAATCCCTGCTGTCACCAAGATTCGAGTTCGCAAACTGAACTGCTCACGCGTGCACACGGAAACACACGTAGAGAGCCCTTCTGTCAATCGGCCGCTGGATTAAGGCCTCCACAAGCAGTGTGGGTTGTGAGGGCTGTTGGCCACGCTGCAGCTCTGGCAAGCTCACCTGTATCTCTTTGGAAGCCTTGGAAAATCCACGCGTGTGTAATCGCGTGGTCACCTGTCCCTACAGCAATTACCGAGCCACACACACCACACCGGTCAGCATCATCTTCGCCGTCAAGTATGGGGTTATTATTGTTTTCTTTTTCATGAACAAAGCCCAAAAACTACACCTGGGTGTTTTTGTGAGTTGCTTTGATCATTTTTTTACAAATCCGACTTCAACTTTTGGGGCCAATTATTTAACGGTGGGGGCAAAGGTCAAATTACAAATGTCAACATATGGGCACAATCATTTCGGTTCTACTTTTTTGGCCACAACTAGACACAAATATTGAAATCTGTCTTTAGTTGACTCAACTCTAACTTTAAAGGTAATACGGAGGGTGGCATCGACAGCTATCTTTTTACAGTGTAAAGTCGCATATTCCACTCCCGAACCTCTGATTAGCACGGTTGGCTCCGTAGGGTGATAAATACGTTTAACATACATACACGTCTGCCCCAAGTGCTGGGAGATTCTGCAATCCCTCTCCTGAAATTCAGTTCCTGACGAAGCTCCCATCACGTGGAACAGAACATCGAACATCGTGCCAAATAACACGACCGAAAACACATTGGAGAGCTTGCACAGCACGACCGTGAAAACCCACGCAGTCGAATTAATTTAGATGGCCCTAACACAGCACCCCTTTTCAGTCTTTCACACATTTGCTTATCATACATGCGACCCCATCTCCATATACCATCACAAATGTTGCAGGTCGTCCTGTAATCCAACCTGACAATCGCCAGTATCAATTATCATACAAATTACACGTCAACTGGTATCTACAATTTGCCCAATCTCACTCACAAAGTCCAGTGATATTTACGTACCCTGAAGGGGAACAGGAGAGCTGGTGTCAGCCTTCGGGCAGCGCACCACAAACGCATCACGCCAGTCTACTACACACACACGGGCAGCTGTACATACAGACACCAGTAAATCCACTGCTGTATGAAGACCTCTCCATGCCGTGTCCATCATGGGGGTGTTATGACCGTGCTTCAGGACGCTCATCAGTGCGGGTTAGTGAAGTGGTTGAGTGGTCCAGAATGGTGGCGCAGTGGTTAGCGCTACGTTCCGCTACGAACCTGGCGACGAGAGTTTGATTCCCGCTCACGGCCAACACCAGTGACGATTATCTGAAACGGTCCTGGGCCTGCCCTAGGTAGACTCAGCCTCAAATAAGTCCCCGGTACAGTGTGTCCATATTACTACTTGGGAGTCAAAAGCAGCCAGGCGTAGTGCTGGCCACCCAACCCCTAGTATGCCGTGCCGGTCTTAATCGGTGCTCGCGAACAGCACTTGCCCCAATAGTCCGTTAAGGCTACACGGGGGATCTTTGCCTTTGTTTGGGGTGGTCCAGGAACGATTCAGATATCACTCCCCAAGGATGGTGGTAACCGTGGCTGAGAATCGAACTCAGGTAGCCGGGTTCATAACGCAGGTAGTGAAGAACCATTGCCCTATATTCTTGGTTCTTTCGGTAAAGTCACTTAGAAGGGAAACAATAAAATAATTAAAATATAAAACAATAAAATTCTCACGACGTTTCGACTGCAACACAAGCAGTCATCATCGGGTGTGAAAACCACAACAAGAAAAACATTTCTTGTCATCATCAGGTGTGAAAAGCACAAGAAAAAAAGATTGTTGTGGTTTTCACACCTGATGATGACTGCTTGTGTTGCAGTCGAAACGTCGTGAGAATTGTATTGTTTATATTTTTATTATTTTATTGTTTCCCTTCTACGTGGTGACTTTACCGAAAGAACCAAGAATATGAATCCCTGCAGTCAACGAAAGCTTTAAATCAAAATGTAACCATTGCCCTGTCAACTCGTGAGCGGTACTGCGGGAGAATGTCCACTTGGTGGCGTGAGAGAGCTTAGCCAGTCTCTGCGCTCATGTCATGTCGGGTGGTGGGGGATGGTGCGTTAAGAGCTGCGAGCCTGTGATTTGTTTGTAGAGTTTAAGCGTGGTGGTAATCATTCGCTAAACATTCTCACGATCGTGTGAGCACGCGTGCTTTAGGTCTGCAGGTCCTGTGTGCGTGGGTACAACTCGCAATGCCCTCGATCTACCCAGGAAAGCCTCACTAAATTCTAGATTTGAAGTTTTCGTGACTGCAAGGATCCAATTTTCTTCACTAAATCTTCAGGAAGGTCCCGCATTGGGCATGCCACTCCCGAAAAGCGCGCGCGCGCGCGCGCACAGACACACGTGCAGGCACAATCACTCCGCATTCACGAAGTTACACATGGAAGTAGATACAGAGAGAGGCATGGAAGTATAAAGAGAGAGAGGCATGGAAGTATAAAGAGAGAGAGGCCGCGGCGCACACACAAACTAAGACAATCAGCAAAAAAGTGTCACGTTGACAAAAGACAAATAGTTCACTACTTTAGCCCACCGGTGTGTTGAAGTGTAAATCCACAACATTCACAGTTTGAGTACGACGTTTCGCTGGTAATTACATTCAGCATCATCGGGCAATTCGCCACCATTCTGGCCCAATGAAGCTGGATGTAATTACCAGCGAAACGTCGTACTCAAATTTTAAATGATGTTGATTCACTCTTCAACACACCGGTGGGCTAAAAGCAGTGAACTATTTTGTCCTTTGTCAACGCGACACATTTTTTTTTTACTGTTTGGCCGTGTCGGGTGGGGTGGAGGGTTACGACGCATTTATAAATAACGCGATCTAACCCAAAAACCTTTATCACGAATAATATTGGTCGCGAAAGCCTACTAAGTCTTCTTTGGTTCTTTCGGTAAAGTCACGTAGAATGAGAATAAAATAATAAATTGATAAAATAAAATAACACAATAATATTCTCACGACGTTTCGGCCACAACACAAGCGGCCTTCATCAGGTGAAGGGACGAGACTGTCTGGAGGACAGTCGTGAGAATATTATTGCGTTATTTTATTTTATCAATTTATTATTCTATTCTCATTCTACGTGACTTTACCGAAAGAACCAAAGAAGATGAATCCTTGCAGTCACGAAAGCTTTAAATCGAAGCCTCCTAAGTGTTAAACTGACCAACTAAGACATCGGCAACAACAATCGCCGTTCGCCGCTAAGCGGCGGTGATGACAGACAGCACGGTGATGACAGACAGCACGGTGATGACAGACAGCGCGGTGATGACAGACAGCGCGGTGATGACAGACAGCGCGGTGATGACAGACAGCACGGTGATGACAGACAGCACGGTGATGACAGACAGCGCGGTGATGACAGACAGTACGGTGATGACAGACAGCACGGTGATGACAGACAGCACGGTGATGACAGACAGCACGGTGATGACAGACAGCGCCGTGATGACAGACAGCACGGTGATGACAGACAGCACGGTGATGACAGACAGCACGGTGATGACAGACAGCATGGTGATGACAGACAGCGCCGTGATGACAGACAGCGCGGTGATGACAGACAGCACGGTAATGACAGACAGCACGGTAATGACAGACAGCACGGTGATGACAGACAGCACGGTGATGACAGACAGCGCGGTGATGACAGACAGCGCGGTGATGACAGACAGCACGGTAATGACAGACAGCACGGTGATGACAGACAGCGCGGTGATGACAGACAGCGCGGTGATGACAGACAGCACGGTGATGACAGACAGCACGGTGATGACAGACAGCACGGTGATGACAGACAGCGCGGTGATGACAGACAGCGCGGTGATGACAGACAGCGCGGTGATGACAGACAGCGCGGTGATGACAGACAGCACGGTGATGACAGACAGCACGGTGATGACAGACAGCACGGTGATGACAGACAGCACGGTGATGACAGACAGCACTGTGATGACAGACAGCACGGTGATGACAGACAGCACGGTGATGAAGACAGCGCGGTGATGACAGACAGCACGGTGATGACAGACAGCACGGTGATGACAGACAGCACGGTGATGACAGACAGCACGGTGATGACAGACAGCACGGTGATGACAGACAGCACTGTGATGACAGACAGCACGGTGATGACAGACAGCGCGGTGATGACAGACAGCGCGGTGATGACAGACAGCGCGGTGATGACAGACAGCACGGTGATGACACAGCACGGTGATGACAGACAGCGCGGTGATGACAGACAGCGCGGTGATGACAGACAGCACTGTGATGACAGACAGCGCGGTGATGACAGACAGCGCGGTGATGACAGACAGCACGGTGATGACAGACAGCACGGTGATGACAGACAGCACGGTGATGACAGACAGCGCGGTGATGACAGACAGCACGTGATGACAGACAGCGCGGTGATGACAGACAGCGCGGTGATGACAGACAGCACGGTGATGACAGACAGCGCGGTGATGACAGACAGCGCGGTGATGACAGACAGCACGGTGATGACAGACAGCACGGTGATGACAGACAGCACGGTGATGACAGACAGCGCGGTGATGACAGACAGCGCGGTGATGACAGACAGCACGGTGATGACAGACAACACGGTGATGACAGACAGCGCGGTGATGACAGACAGCGCCGTGATGACAGACAGCACGGTGATGAAGACAGCGCGGTGATGACAGACAGCACGGTGATGACAGACAGCACGGTGATGACAGACAGCACGGTGATGACAGACAGCACGGTGATGACAGACAGCACGGTGATGACAGACAGCACTGTGATGACAGACAGCACGGTGATGACAGACAGCGCGGTGATGACAGACAGCGCGGTGATGACAGACAGCGCGGTGATGACAGACAGCACGGTGATGACACAGCACGGTGATGACAGACAGCGCGGTGATGACAGACAGCGCGGTGATGACAGACAGCACTGTGATGACAGACAGCGCGGTGATGACAGACAGCGCGGTGATGACAGACAGCACGGTGATGACAGACAGCACGGTGATGACAGACAGCACGGTGATGACAGACAGCGCGGTGATGACAGACAGCGCAGTGATGACAGACAGCACGGTGATGACAGACAGCCGGTGATGACAGACAGCACGGTGATGACAGACAGCACGGTGATGACAGACAGCACGGTGATGACAGACAGCACGGTGATGACAGACAGCGCGGTGATGACAGACAGCGCGGTGATGACAGACAGCACGGTGATGACAGACAACACGGTGATGACAGACAGCGCGGTGATGACAGACAGCGCCGTGATGACAGACAGCACTGTGATGACAGACAGCACGGTGATGACAGACAGCGCCGGTGATGACAGACAGCACGGTGATGACAGACAGCGCGGTGATGACAGACAGCGCGGTGATGACAGACAGCACGGTGATGACAGACAGCGCGGTGATGACAGACAGCACGGTGATGACAGACAGCACGGTGATGACAGACAGCACGGTGATGACAGACAGCACGGTGATGACAGACAGCACGGTGATGACAGACAGCGCCGGTGATGACAGACAGCACGGTGATGACAGACAGCACGGTGATGACAGACAGCACGGTGATGACAGACAGCACGGTGATGACAGACAGCACGGTGATGACAGACAGGCACGGTGATGACAGACAGCACGGTGATGACAGACAGCGCGGTGATGACAGACAGCGCGGTGATGACAGACAGCACGGTGATGACAGACAGCGCGGTGATGACAGACAGCACGGTGATGACAGACAGCACGGTGATGACAGACAGCACGGTGATGACAGACAGCACGGTGATGACAGGACAGCACGGTGATGACAGACAGCGCCGTGATGACAGACAGCACGGTGATGACAGACAGCACGGTGATGACAGACAGCACGGTGATGACAGACAGCACGGTGATGACAGACAGCGCGGTGATGAGAGACAGCGCGGTGATGACAGACAGCGCGGTGGTGACAGACAGCACGGTGATGACAGACAGCACGGTGGATGACAGACAGCACGGTGATGACAGACAGCACGGTGATGACAGACAGCGCGGTGATGACAGACAGCACAGTGATGACAGACAGCACGGTGATGACAGACAGCACGGTGATGACAGACAGCACGGTGATGACAGACAGCGCCGTGATGACAGACAGCACGGTGATGACAGACAGCACGGTGCACGGTGATGACAGACAGCACGGTGATGACAGACAGCACGGTGATGACAGACAGCACGGTGATGACAGACAGCACGGTGATGACAGACAGCGCCGTGATGACAGACAGCGCGGTGATGACAGACAGCGCGGTGATGACAGACAGCGCGGTGATGACAGACAGCGCGGTGATGACAGACAGCACGTTGATGACAGACAGCACTGTGATGACAGACAGCACGGTGATGACAGACAGCACGGTGATGACAGACAGCGCCGTGATGACAGACAGCGCCGTGATGACAGACAGCACGGTGATGACAGACAGCGCCGTGATGACAGACAGCGCGGTGATGACAGACAGCGCGGTGATGACAGACAGCGCCGTGATGACAGACAGCACGGTGATGACAGACAGCGCGGTGATGACAGACAGCACGGTGATGACAGACAGCACGGTGATGACAGACAGCGCGGTGATGACAGACAGCACGGTGCACGGTGATGACAGACAGCGCGGTGCACGGTGATGACAGACAACGCCGTGATGACAGACAGCACGGTGATGACAGACAGCGCCGTGATAACAGACAGCACGGTGATGACAGACAGCGCTGTGATGACAGACAGCGCGGTGATGACAGACAGCGCGGTGATGACAGACAGCGCGGTGATGACAGACAGCGCGGTGATGACAGACAGCACGGTGATGACAGACAGCGCCGTGATGACAGACAGCACGGTGATGACAGACAGCACGGTGATAACAGACAGCACGGTGATGACAGACAGCACGGTGATGACAGACAGCGCGGTGATGAGAGACAGCGCGGTGATGACAGACAGCGCGGTGGTGACAGACAGCACGGTGATGACAGACAGCACGGTGATGACAGACAGCACGGTGATGACAGACAGCACGGTGATGACAGACAGCGCGGTGATGACAGACAGCACAGTGATGACAGACAGCACGGTGATGACAGACAGCACGGTGATGACAGACAGCACGGTGATGACAGACAGCGCCGTGATGACAGACAGCACGGTGATGACAGACAGCACGGTGATGACAGACAGCACGGTGATGACAGACAGCACGGTGATGACAGACAGCACGGTGATGACAGACAGCGCGGTGATGACAGACAGCACGGTGATGACAGACAGCACGGTGATGACAGACAGCACGGTGATGACAGACAGCACGGTGATGACAGACAGCACGGTGATGACAGACAGCACGGTGATGACAGACAGCACGGTGATGACAGACAGCGCCGTGATGACAGACAGCGCGGTGATGACAGACAGCGCGGTGATGACAGACAGCGCGGTGATGACAGACAGCGCGGTGATGACAGACAGCACGTTGATGACAGACAGCACGGTGATGACAGACAGCACGGTGATGACAGACAGCACGGTGATGACAGACAGCGCCGTGATGACAGACAGCGCCGTGATGACAGACAGCACGGTGATGACAGACAGCGCCGTGATGACAGACAGCGCGGTGATGACAGACAGCGCGGTGATGACAGACAGCGCGGTGATGACAGACAGCACGGTGATGACAGACAGCGCGGTGATGACAGACAGCACGGTGATGACAGACAGCACGGTGATGACAGACAGCGCGGTGATGACAGACAGCACGGTGCACGGTGATGACAGACAGCGCGGTGCACGGTGATGACAGACAACGCCGTGATGACAGACAGCACGGTGATGACAGACAGCGCCGTGATAACAGACAGCACGGTGATGACAGACAGCGCTGTGATGACAGACAGCGCGGTGATGACAGATAGCGCGGTGATGACAGACAGCGCGGTGATGACAGACAGCGCGGTGATGACAGACAGCACGGCGTCATGCGCTGGCCAAGGTGACCGCTGATCTCACGTGAAGTGTCGCCTTGTTCACAGGGCAAGCAGCTCACGGGGCAGACCCAGTGGCTGTGTGAGAGAGACACGCGGGTACACGATACACAATGACACACACACATTGCAGCGATACAGACACAGTACCAGAGACAAGACAAAAGATCCTCTCCTCCCCCCCAGCGCATATCCTGAAACGAACTTTCCCACCTGATGACGGACGCTTGCGTTGCGCCCGAAACGTCGTGATTTATTTTATTTTATACCTACGTGATGACTTTACCGAAAGAACCAAAAGAGTACGGATTCCTGCAGTCACTAAAGCTTCAAATTAAGATTTAACAGGCTGTAAGAGGGGAAGTGCTGTTAGCGAGTAGCAGCACCTATGAAGGCCGGCACGGCACACGAGGGGGTGGGTGGCCACCACCACGTGCCCCACCGCCTTTGTCTCCACATAGCTGATGTTTACACACCGTAGCAGGTACTTGATTCAGGTTGGGTCTACCTGTGAAGACCCAAGACCGGTTCAGTTAATCGTTACCAATGTTGGCCGTGCGCTAACCACTTCACTACCACTGCCCACACACACAGCACGCGTAAGGGACACAAACACAAACTCATAGTCGTCACACGCAGACACAGCACAGCCTCACTGTCACCCTCACTCTTACTCACTCGCTCTTCCACACTCATCCTCACTCTCTCACCCACACTTTATCACCCTCACACGCTCTCATCCACCCTCACCCATCCTCAATCTCTCACCCTTACTCACAACTCACCCTCACCACCCTCACACTCTCACCCACACTCTTACCCACACCCCCGTACCCCAGGTGACTCCAGGATCCTCTCTCCCCCACACTCACCCTCACACCCTCACTCTCTCACCCTCACCCTCTCTCTCTCACTCTCTCACTCACACTCACTCTCAATCACTCTCTCTCTCACGCCCTCACTCTCTCACCCTCACTCACCCTCTCACTCACGCCCTCACCCTCACTCACTCACCCTCACTCACCCTCTCACTCTCTCACCCTCACTCTCTCACACTCACCCTCTCTCACACTCTCTCTCACACTCACCCTCACGCCCTCACACTCTCACCCTCACTCACCCTCTCACTCACGCCCTCACTCACTCACTCTCTCACCCTCTCACTCTCTCACCCTCACTCACCCTCTCACACTCTCTCACACTCACCCTCACTCTCTCACCCTCTCACACTCACTCACCCTCTCACACTCTCTCACACTCACCCTCACTCACACTCACCCATCCTCTCACACACACTCACTCACACTCTCTCACCCATCCCAGCCCTCACCTCCACGCCCCTTGTGACCGTAGCCGGCGAATCACGTGGAGTCACTGCCGCTTCCGGACCGGGTCCCGCTCGCGCAGGGTCCGGCCTCTTCTCGCTGCTCCGCTGTTTTAGTTCCGGTTTCATGCCCCCCCCCCCCCAAGATGAACTTCGACGGCGTGAACCCGTGGTCACAGCGGCCCCTTTTTGTCAGTCCACCCACCGCTGTACGAGGGCTTCCCCACACCATGCGCGTCCAGGGGGTTTAATTGAACATACTTCACCACGCTGGACAATGCGGGGTTAGTGAAGGCACGGGAAGCATAGACGTGGGAGCATAGAAGTATAAGAACATAGAAGTACTGTACAATGGATGTAGCTGCACTGCCCTATGCTGCCTACCCACGTGGTACTTGATCTGGGGTCCGTCGGTTTTGGGATCCTGGGGTCACCTTGGATCCTGGGGTCACCTGGGATACGAGGGTCACCTGGGATACGGGGGTCGAAGGATCTTGGGGTGCTGGCTCCAGGTTTCAACTTAGCTTAACGAGATCACGAACGCGTGAGCGTTCTTTCGGTTAAGTCACGCAGATACGTAGACTTTAGTGTTGGTGGTGGAGGAGTGTTGGGGGTGGAGCTAGTGTTGGTGGTGGTGGAGCTAGTGTTGGTGGTGGTGGAGCTAGTGTTGGGGGTGGAGCTAGTGTTGGGGGTGGTGGAGCTAGTGTTGGGGGTGGAGCTAGTGTTGGAGGTGGTGGAGCTAGTGTTGGTGGTGGTGGAGCTAGTGTTGTTGGTGGAGGTGGTGGTGGAGCTAGTGGAGGTGGTGGAGCTAGTGGAGGTGGTGGTGGAGCTAGTGGAGGTGGTGGTGGGGCTAGTGTTGGGGGTGGAGCTAGTGGAGGTGGTGGTGGAGCTAGTGGTGGTGATGGTGGAGCTAGTGGAGGTGGAGCTAGTGGAGCTAGTGGGGGTGGTGGTGGAGCTAGTGGAGCTAGTGGAGGTGGTGGTAGAGCTAGTGGAGCTAGTGGAGGTGGAGCTAGTGTTGGTGGTGGTGGAGCTAGTGGTGGTGATGGTGGAGCTAGTGGAGGTGGTGGTGGAGCTATTGGAGGTGGTGGAGCTAGTGTTGGTGGTGGTGGAGCTAGTGTTGGTGGTGGTGTAGCTAGTGTTGGTGGTGGTGGAGCTAGTGGAGGTGGTGGTGGAGCTAGTGGGGGTGGTGGTGGAACTAGTGGTGGTGATGGTGGAGCTAGTGGAGGTGGAGCTAGTGGAGCTAGTGGGGGTGGTGGTGGAGCTAGTGGAGCTAGTGGAGGTGGTGGTAGAGCTAGTGGAGCTAGTGGAGGTGGAGCTAGTGTTGGTGGTGGTGGAGCTAGTGGTGGTGATGGTGGAGCTAGTGGAGGTGGTGGTGGAGCTATTGGAGGTGGTGGAGCTAGTGTTGGTGGTGGTGGAGCTAGTGTTGGTGGTGGTGGAGCTAGTGTTGGTGGAGCTAGTGGAGGTGGTGGTGGAGCTAGTGGAGGTGGTGGTGGAGCTAGTGGAGGTGGTGGAGCTAGTGTTGGTGATGGTGGAGCTAGTGGTGGTGGAGCTAGTGTTGGTGGTGGTGGAGCTAGTGTTGGTGGTGGAGCTAGTGGAGGTGGTGGTGGAGCTAGTGTTGATGGTGGAGCTAGTGTTGGTGGAGCTAGTGGAGGTGGAGCTAGTGGGGGTGGAGCTAGTGGTGGAGCTAGTGTTGGTGGTGGTGGAGCTAGTGGAGGTGGTGGTGGAGCTAGTGTTGATGGTGGAGCTAGTGTTGGTGGAGCTAGTGGAGGTAGAGCTAGTGGGGGTGGAGCTAGTGGAGGTGGTGGGGCTAGTGTTGGTGGTGGTGGAGCTAGTGGAGGTGGTGGTGGAGCTAGTGGTGGTGGTGGAGCTAGTGGAGGTGGTGGTGGAGCTAGTGTTGATGGTGGAGCTAGTGGAGGAGGTGGTGGAGCTAGTGTTGGTGGTGGTGGAGCTAGTGGAGGTGGTGGTGGAGCTAGTGTTGATGGTGGAGCTAGTGGAGGTGGTGGAGCTAGTGGAGGTGGTGGTGGAGCTAGTGTTGGTGGTGGTGGAGCTAGTGGAGGTGGAGCTAGTGTTGGTGGTGGAGCTAGTGGAGGTGGAGCTAGTGTTGGTGATGGTGGAGCTAGTGGAGGTGGTGGTGGAGCTAGTGGTGGTGGTGGAGCTAGTGTTGGTGATGGTGGAGCTAGTGGGGGTGGAGCTAGTGTTGGTGATGGTGGAGCTAGTGTTGGTGATGGTGGAGCTAGTGGAGGTGATGGTGGAGCTAGTGGAGGTGGTGGTGGAGCTAGTGTTGGTGGTGGAGCTAGTGTTGGTGGTGGTGGAGCTAGTGGAGGAGGTGGTGGAGCTAGTGTTGGGGGTGGAGCTAGTGGAGGTGGTGCTAGTGGAGGTGATGGTGGAGCTAGTGTTGGTGGTGGTGGAGCTAGTGGAGGTGGAGCTAGTGATGGTGGTGGTGGAGCTAGTGGAGGTGGTGGTGGAGCTAGTGATGGTGGGGCTAGTGGAGGTGGTGGTGGAGCTAGTGTTGATGGTGGAGCTAGTGGAGGTGGTGGAGCTAGTGGAGGTGGAGCTAGTGGAGGTGGTGGAGCTAGTGTTGATGGTGGAGCCTGTGGAGGTGGAGCTAGTGGAGGTGGAGCTAGTGGAGGTGGTGGAGCTAGTGAAGGTGGTGGAGCTAGTGTTGGTGGAGGTGGAGCTAGTGGAGGTGGTGGTGGAGCTAGTGTTGGTGGTGGTGGAGCTAGTGGAGGTGGTGGTGGAGCTAGTGGTGGTGGAGCTAGTGGAGGTGGTGGAGCTAGTGGAGGTGGTGGTGGAGCTAGTGGAGGTGATGGTGGAGCTAGTGGAGGTGATGGTGGAGCTAGTGGTGGTGGAGCTAGTGGAGGTGGTGGTGGAGCTAGTGTTGGTGGAGCTAGTGTTGGTGGTGATGGTGGAGCTAGTGTTGGTGGTGATGGTGGAGCTAGTGTTGGTGGTGGAGCTAGTGGAGCTAGTGGAGGTGGTGGTGGAGCTAGTGTTGGTGGTGGTGGAGCTAGTGGAGCTAGTGGAGGTGGAGCTAGTGGAGGTGGTGGTGGAGCTAGTGGAGGTGATGGAGCTTGTGGAGGTGGTAGTAGAGCTAGTGTTGGTGGTGGTGGAGCTAGTGGTGGTGGTGGAGCTAGTGGAGCTAGTGGTGGTGGAGCTAGTGGAGGTGGTGGTGGAGCTAGTGGTGGTGGAGTTAGTGTTGGTGATGGTGGAGCTAGTGGAGGTGGTGGTGGAGCTAGTGGAGGTGGAGCTAGTGGAGGTGGTGGTGGAGCTAGTGGAGGTGGAGCTAGTGTTGGTGATGGTGGAGCTAGTGGAGGTGGAGCTAGTGGAGGTGATGGTGGAGCTAGTGGAGGTGATGGTGGAGCTAGTGGAGGTGGTGGTGGAGCTAGTGGAGCTAGTGGAGGTGGAGCTAGTGGTGGTGATGGTGGAGCTAGTGTTGGTGGTGGTGATGGTAGTGGCCAGGTCACTTCTGAAAAATAAGCTAATAGCTCAGTGGGCCTTACCTGGTAAGAAAACATTTTTTTGTTTAGTTTTATTTGTATATATTTTTTAGTGATTTATTTACCTTTAATGTACTTTGCACTCCTTTCGTGTTTTTGTATTGTTTGTTGTTGTAACCTTCTGACTCGCCACTACTGGACATCTGAAAAATTGCTTTATAGCTCAATGGATTCCTCCAGTATAAATAAACATTATGATTCCGAACTGTGATTTGTGAGTGGATACCGAGCGAGAGAAGGCAGAGAAAGAAAAGCAGAAGAGATTGCCGGATGAAATCTAAATAATTGTAAGGCCACGACTGGACATGACCGAGTTATCATTAGCCCCTGGGTGCATCTTTAATTTGCTGAACCATACTGGACATGTAAAAAAAAAGAGCTTTACAACTCATCGGATTCTTCCAGTCTAAATAAAGTTTCTGATCTCAGCCATTGCCTCTGCTGGCAGACACAACATCGTGCCCGTGTAACATCCCTTTTGTAAAGGATATATCGGGGGACCAAACATTAAACAACAACAAAACCCCTCTCTTACACACACTAAACCGTTTTTCTTTCTCCCGCTCTCTCCTCTTCAGCCCTTTCCACAGGAGCACAGGGCCATATCTGTTCGTTTGGCAGAACCGTGGGAACCTCACGGGTCATGTGGGCAACTTCTGACGAGAAACCGGGTTCAGAGGTCATGAGAACCCTGGGCCAGTTGTGAGTGGCGGGCACGGAAGCCGGCCGGGCGTCGCAGTGAGCGTGGGAGCAGGCGGGGGGGGGGACGATGCAGGGAAGACTTCTCTCAACACCACACGCTGGCGGCATGGGAGTGTTAATGAGGAGGAGCCGTGCTCAATGGGACGCTCACTCAAGCAGAACTATTGTTGCTCGGGCCAGCCGCCACAATAGCCGGCGTCTCCTCGCGCCTTGCACCCTCGCCTCTGTAGCCTGCAATGTTCATTTTGTCAGCGGTTTCACCACCCCCCTTCCCCCCCCCCCCACAGTTCTTTTCAGTCTAACACGTAGTAGTAAGGTGGCTTTTGCGACTAATATTCAAAATATATTTATACAAACAAGGTTAACCTTCACTATTCTTCTGAATCCTTGCCACACGAACAGACTGACCGACAGTCGGGCATAGCCGATACATAAACGCTTTAAACCCCGAGTTGGAAAGGATACGAACACGTGCCAATTCGTTACTAGTTCAGTACACCGATGTGTTGGAGAGCAAACCCACTATCTACAATTCGAGTACGACGTTTCGCGGGCAATTACAGCCTCATTAGGCGATAGCTGAGCTGAACTAGCTACGTATGAGCACGTTTCGTTGACGTGAGAACCCTTACTAAATGGCTGTCGGGTTTAATGACACTTTTATATTTACGCGATCTAACCCAAAACAACTATTTTTTTCCGTATAGTTTCCAACTAAGCGTTTATGTATCAGCTATGTCCGACTATCGGTCTGTTTGTGAGGTTTCAGAAGAATTGTGAAGATTATAGAATAAAAAAAGTGTTTTCGTATAAAGCTGGACAAATTGATGGAAGGGTTATTGCCCTAAACAAAGTCAAACCAACCGGAGCATAAAGGATTACAGTACTTGCATAGTCCTGGTGTTCTTCACTAATTTTGAGAGGCGGGGGGGCACTTTTGCCGATAAGACATCGTCAGTACGTGACGGCTGCCACACATTTAGCACCATTGGGGGTTTGACAGCAGCACGCTCATGATGGGTGGTGTTGTCACTCGTTGTGTGTTGTCGGGGGCCACACTTAAGGCCACCAGGGGTCACCAGTGGCCTGCGGGCCTTGCAATGAAGAACACTGGCTTGAAGGCCTTTTTGGCATTACAGCTACCCGCCGCCTTCCGTACTTCTAATTACATCTGAAGTCCTTTAACTAATTAACGTAGTTACATAATGCAACGCACAATGCATGTTTTTTTCCCGAATTGTTACTTTAATCGTAGGCTTTAGTCGATGGCAACGTGTGCATCTTGAGTTCAGTCTCAGCGTGTGGATGTCACAGTCATTCTCTACAAGCAGCAGTTAAAACACGTGGTCCACTCCTCGTTACGCTTGTGTTTGATCCTGCCACGTGCGATAATTCACACCACACGTGGTCAATTGGCATAATCAGAGCACATTTTTCCTTTTTTTTACCAAGAACACTAAGCAGTATATCATTTTTTTCAGAAGTGACCTGGCCACAAATGATATAATCAACGAAGTGGCTTATCATGTGGAAATTGAAAGTAGCCAAATACTATAAACACATGTTGATTTTAAATTTGGAGGGAAAACCCGGAGGACCGGGAGAAAAATCCACGCGACCATGGGGAGAACATGCAAACTCCAAATATACAGGTGTCACGGTTGGGATCGAACCCATATACCAGGCGAGGAAATGAACATCTCACCATCTTGGCAACCTGTGTATTGGTACTCTGAGTTGTGTAGTACAATAAGATTGGATGACAATACGTTGCACTGCAATTGATGTAACAATTAACAACCCGTTAATGCACTGCTGGATTACAAAAAAAACCTCCCCACGCCATATCATGGGAGGTTGTTTGACCACATTTCACCACACTGGACAGTGGGTTTGTGAAGTGGGGGGGGGGGGGGGGGGAATTGGTAGCGATGTTAGCTGCTACTGGTAATGAAATCCAGGTCACAAGGTCGAGAGCGCAGTGTGCTAACCACTGCGCCACCGCTCCCCCAATATTGCAAAAAGAGGTGTGAAATCGCTATGCCGATTGGTCCACGCATATCTTAACGACACCTTGAGGCCAACCTGCTCCATGGTAATTATCTTATGACCTCCAACAGCGAATCGCTTCCTGGGTTCACAGTGATCGCACAGCCGGTTGGAAATGCAGCTTGGGATTATTCGATTAACTTACATTGATGTCGCACGTCAGACTCTCCTATTAGCAGCCAGTTCACCGATTTGACTGGGCTATTTGTGCAGAGAACATTGGTGCAGCATGGACCAGAAGTGAATGACGATGAAAAGGACACGAACTGCATTGTGCAGCACATTATGTTGAGTTGGTATGCAATGTAAGGGGGCAAAAGTGCAGCCCTGTAAAATGCCTGCTCATGCTACTGCTGGCGGAAAGGTTATGACTCTATGCAGACCCTCTAGGTGGTACATCGGCCTTCGCTGGTCAGACGTATGTATGTTGAATTTCTTTCGCACTATGTAGCCAACATTGATAATTGGAGATGCGGGAGAAGGAAAACAAACTGAACACAAAAATCAGTACTCAAGAAATGAGTTTTCAATCTAGATTTAAAAGTCCATAGCTCCAGTGGCTTCCTAATAGTGGAAGAGCGTTCCAGACGGCCGCAGAAGTGCATCTGGAAGCGCATCTGAAAGTGCACGATGCAGTCACTGTCTTCGATGGTTAGTCAAAAGCCAGAAGAGAGGTGGAAGTATCCAATTTACCCTGCCATACGTGACCTGAAAATTGACTGTGGTGTACCCATTTATACTGCCGGGTGGGACAGAGGCGACAGGTGATCTAAGACACTTGTTCCACGTGTCAACTGCCGCACCGGGAGATGGAATCCAACCAGCAACATCTGCATTGCAAGTCCAGTGTGTTAACAAAAATAAGATCACAGCATGGCAGCGCTGTAAGGGAATGTACATTGAGAATTCGCGTACTATTCAGCTACTGCAAAAAATAAATTTCCCATAACAAAAATAAATTAATTCTGGGGGAGACTAACATTCTAGTTACGTTCAAGCATTTTATTAATCTGGAAATGGAATTAAACACGTGATGGCAGGCGGACATGCAAACCATGCTAGGATTCCAGTTGTTTTGATGTGGACAGCTTTATGTGTATATTTTTATTACAAGTGTTTTTTTTTTCTTCTGGCTGTTGAATTTGCCTCTTCACCTGGAGATGCTGGAATAAATTTGATCTTTTAAGCTGCTTTGCCAAATGTGTGCGAGATGGTGCACTTCCCGACTGGTGTTGGAATTTCAACATTTCTGTGGCAGGGAGTCAGTCCACTCCACAGCACAACAAATGTTGGCATCGCACAATGCAAAAGTGATTTACTGCAACGTGGTATCGGCTTTTTCTTTTGCATCACAAGGTGATTGCAACTCGCACGTTACAAGTGCAGAACAACACATCGAAGCGCTTATGTGGCACAACTGTGCAAACCTAAGCAAGTAGTACAGAATTGTGACAGGCATTAAGACAGCTGAACCGTGAAATGTAAAACTGAGAAAAACACCCATGGGGGGGCTGAATTGTGTGTTTTTTTATTTTAAGTTAAACATCGACTCTTTTTGTTGCATCTCGATGTCCAAGCTTGTACCGTGTGTGATCAAAGCGTTCACAAGTTTCAAACTTCCACCATCATCACAGCGTCGGCAAAGGCAAGAGAGTCCACCTAATATCGTTAACGGATCTCACTATACTCTAGGACAGAATGGGGCTCTCCCTCCTCCATGCTGACACTGCCAATCCAACACACAACTTAGCACCATCTTATAAAGTACAGCCGTCACGAAATTGTCTGATGAAGAGGTTGAACACGAGCAATGTGGATGGCCTGTAGTACGAATGGTCATATCTAAAGCCCACCACCACCGTGACTCTGGGAATCCGCCCCACACTGAAACCACATTGGTCGAGTGTCGTCGAGTTGAAGTCTTTCGGGCATCGTCGCAAATTATTGCGCGAAAAATTATCGCGTTAAATTTGGCTTTTCACTTTACGCGACTTGTTTCAGCTCCTTGTACAAACTTTTTTTAGCGTTTCACGTATTCAACAATCTACAGTCTAAGTGTACACAATTTAAGTTGAATATTGTGCATCAGTGAGGTTACTTCAAAAATATTAGTGACATTTATCCAGGGATTGATTCCTGACAGGGTGCGTGCGATGCAGTCCATGCTGCGAGAACTGTGAAAGGATATATCTGTGGAGGGGGGCAGTGGCGCGGTTGTTTGCTCACCACACTATGAACCCAGCGACCTGAGTTTGATTCCTGGCCGCAGCTAACATCCATAGTGAGTGGGTCCTGACCCTCCCCCCCGCCCCTCTTCGCTTCATAAACCCACGCTGCCCAGTGTGGTGAAGAACTATCGCACAACCTCCAAAACATACAAGGATTGCGGAGGCCTTAATCCAGAAGTGGATTGGCAAAATGACTAAATTATCACTATTTTCATATTTCTGTCATGGCAAAAAATGTGAAATTGGGATAAAAAGAAACAAAATCTGAAAGGGTTCTGAAGCAAAATTAACAACTGCTCTCACATTTATCAACAACCAACTGCGTTAATTACTTCAACACCGTTTCCAAGCTGTGCAGGGGGGCTTTGTGCGTTTGCATTTTGCTCTCGACAAATGAAGGCAAAACTAGTGTTTTTCTTTTAAATTAAAGATTACCATAAATATGAAGTAAGGTTGTCCCGTTCAATAAATGTTTTTTTTAATATTGCATATCAATGGCACAGAGAAACAACACAGAGAGAATCTGCTACCGCCGGAAACATCGAACCCCTCCAGTGCAGGCTTCAAAACGAGCCAGTGCTAAACCCCCCTTAAGCAAAACGGTAATTCCGTATGCAGCAATTTTTAAAGCAGGAGAAAAAAAGAAACCCAAAACCAAAAATGAACACGAACAGGTAAACGTCGACGTTGTACACGGGTCGATGGACGTCACGGCGCACGTGAAAAAAACTGCACTTCAGAATAACGAAAAGTAACAAAATGCGAATTCATTAGTTCCTAAAATCCTATTCATAACGAGATTCCATGGGCGAGGTTCAGCGGAAAGAACACTTCCATGAAAAAGATGACGTCAAAAAAAAAGCAGCACCAATCCACGGACCACCGGCATACACAAAAGGCGGCAAAGGGACGGTGGGTGGGGGGGTGGGGGAACATCGCCGTTGCCTGGGTACCACCACCACCTCACTGTTACCTCTTGGCCCTAACGAAGTACAGGGCGTTGGTTTTGGGATAGTATTTGACGTTCTGCTTGCGGTCCACCAGCCCGCCGAAGATTATGAGCTCCCCTCGGCCGCGCACCACCGTGTGCAGGCTGGTCTCGGGTGGCCCCACCACTGAGCGGCACGACAGGCCCTTCCAAGCCACACGCCTGCTCGAGCGTGCCTGCCCCACCTCCAGCACGTACATGCGCATGGGCTTGCAGTTGAGGCTCTGGTAGAGCGGCTTGCCGAGGCTCAGCGAGTGAGGATGGTGGCGTGGCGCTCCCAGGCGCTGCGCCAGGTTCTGGAAGGAGCGCGATGTTCCGCCTCCGCCGCCGCCGCCGCCACCACCTCCTGCTGCTGCTGCTGCTCCTCCCGGCGCGCTGCTTTGGATGGGTCCTGTGGCGGACTCTGCTTCTGCTGCTGCTGCTTCTGCATCAGTTGAGCTTGCGGCTGGTGCCATTTCATCTTCGGTGGGGCTGTGGGTAGCAGCAACAGAAGCAGCAGCAGCCACCGCCGAAGCAGACCCATTCACATTTACACCAGATTCCATCCTGTCGTTATGAGCCGCACACTCACCAACAGACCCGGATTTATCTGCGACTGATACCGAGGTTCCCACGGATCGTAGAGCAGCTGAGAGAACGTCGGCGGAGAGTCCCTTCGTCTCGGCAGACAGCGTAGTGGAGCTCCGGCCCACCATGTCCATGCTGGACAAATCGCAACTCGGCGATTCCGGTCGGCACACAAATGATAGCCTGTGGTCCTGCCCATCCCTGACGGAGTAGCTACCGCAGTTTGCGTCATCATGTTGCCGGGCAGTCAGTGCTTCCCTGAATCTGCCCTCGCTACCGAGAGAACTCATCCGGGATGGCGATATTCTTAGGGATGAGTCCGAGGCAAAGTTTTTCCTTTTGGACATGTGGTTAGTGGACTCAGTCCTGCCTCTGCCAAACATCATTTTTGGGCCCATGTTGTTAGCGGATGCAAACGCACTTCCTCCAAATCTAGCCGTTGCTGCCGCTGACCCGTCTGCTGCGTGTCTCTGTGCACCAAATACAGCAGCACCCAGTCCTGATCGCCTCACAGTCACCATGACATCCTCCTCTGACCGAGAATTGTCCGATGTTTCGTTATCAAATGAAAGCAAAGCCGCTCTCGGCCCGGCGTTGAGGGTAGGGCTGGAGGCCGCGTGTTTATTCTCGAGGGTTGAGGCCACTTTGTGTGTCGACGAGGTAGATTGGCTGCCGACCGGGCACTCTCTCCAGCCTTTGGTAGGCACATCAAACCCCGATGTTGCTTCTGCCGATAACATGCGAACGCTGTGCCGTTCGGAGGCTGCGGCCATATACCTGTGCAAGCCGTTCATTTGCGGAGAGGACAGACCGGACCTCGCGCCGTCAAGCTGTCTGTGCCAGGCGTCTCGTTCGGATGTGTTGAAAGATGACCTTTCGCAGGCGGCGGCGGTGTCTTGAGTCCCGTTACACCTGGAAGCGGCGTTTGGGTTGCGGTGTTTGTGGAATCCGGACGAGGCGGGGCGGCTCAGCAGCCCGGAGATGACGCTGCTCGCACCATTCTCTCCGAGGCCGCCTGGTGCCGTCGCACCGCTATGGCTCGCGCAAATCTGAATCCTCGCGTCATCGGTCAAACTGTGCCCCGGAGCGTTATTGGGACGGTCCTGCCAGGGCGGCTTCTGGTGCTTTCTCAGAGGACTGGACGAGAAGTTACACGAGCCGTCGGGTGGACACTTTGCGGACCGTTCATTTACGGGGCCGTAGTTGTAGGCGTAGCTCGTTTCTGCCGAATAAAGGGGCGGCCTGTCCGCCAAGCCATCGCCGGCCTCAGTCGCTATTGCTTCCCTACTGGGCCCCGAGAGGAGACGCCCCGCACCAGGAAGCGGCATCCTGGCGCTCGATGCGGCCGGCTCCGAGCTAGACCGAACGTGATCAGTGGGCCGCTCAGGGTGAGCTCGCAAGTCATCACGCACAATGGAGGAGGTCACCGGCACGGGGTCCGTGGGCTGCGCTGTGCGAGGTGGGGTGAGGCTGGACAAGAGGTCGGACCCCACCGATGGGGGGCACATGTAGTTTTCTTCCTCTCTGGAGGAATTCCTGGGGCTCCGGTCCTCTACGATCGAAGGGGCGCACTCGGGGCTGGAACCCGCCGAGCTACCCGAGTCTCCACCTGCAATGCAATCGCCACCCAGAGAGAGTACGCTACGTCAAGCAACGGCGCGTCTTTTTTTAAAATGCCAAATGGGCATCCCAATTCAAGGGCAGATAAGGAGCATAACCATAAACATTTTAAGAACCAGTTTAAAAAATATATATTTCCCAGGTAAATTGTACAAATGGAAATAAGTACAAAATAAGGTAATGTCACTGGCGCAATATCTCATATGGCAAAGCATGGTTATATTCCTGAATAATCATGATGGTTGGACATGTCAACTTGTATTTATAAAAAACATAAATAAATGGGGGAGTGGTGGCAGTGGCTAGTGCACTGTTTTATGAACCAAGTGACGACTCTTGTTTTCATTCCCAATGACAGCGAACACCAGTGACGAGTGAAATCTGCACTGGTCCTGGGCACCCCCTTCATCCATCCCTCATCGACGGTCACATGTAGACACTACATAGATCCAAAGTGTATTGCACTTTTTTGTTACAAAAAATGCAATTAGAAAATAACAACATTATACTATCGTTATAAACTCGACCCATAGCTTGCCTCCCAACAGTTCAGCCTGACAATTAAGAAGCCCACCTTTCCCTGACCTTGTCAGGGCACTTTATCGCCTTTCCCCCCCGAACCACTTGGTACTCCAAACACCCACTCTTCACAGCACTCAAAAACTCTTGCCTCATTCCTTCTTCCCTGCCGATTCAGGAAGCCAGCCAAGAGATCGGAGCCTCTCCTCGACTCGTTCTATAGCCCGTAGGCAAGCTCGTACAACCCTCAATAGCACGTGTGAAAAACGCTCTCGAGGCAGCTTCACACTCGTGTCAAGATAAAGCGGCCTCACTCAAATGACATTAAACAAACAAAGCCGCTAAGAGTTGAGTTTTTTTTTTACTTTGAAGAGCAACACGGGTCACGCTGATGGCGAGCGTTCACATGGACCCAACTCACAGCCGTTAAGGGCTGAGCTCGTGAGATAACACGACGGGTGGGAACCTTTTCCTTACCAGGGCCAAAGGAGACTTTCGGATATCTTTGGTGGGCAAATACACATGTGACCACCACGCTATGATGTTATTCAATAAAAAGTCAAACATAACGGCTCATCATGTTTCTACCATTAGAAACTGGAGCACTATAATTTAGATACTAGCCATCGTACAAAGACGGGCACTGCATCGCATGCTTTCAGATGCGTTTCTGCGGCTGTCTGGAACGTTCTTCCTTCCGATGTTAGGAAGCCACTGGAGCTTTGCACTTTTAAATCTAGAATGAAAACAAATTTATTTCGCACTGTTTTTTGTGTTTAGTTTGTTGTCCTTCCCCCGCACCTCCGATTAGCACAGTTGGATACATACGGTGCGAAAGAAGTTCAACACGTTGTACAGCACAATTCTACGCATGGTCTTTGATTACAGTGACAACCCCTGCTGGATGAAGCCCTCGTCACGCCGTGCTGATTGTGGGAGTTGAATGAAAATACTTCTCCGTGCTGACCAGTGCAGGCTGGTGAAGAGGGGGTTGGGGTCTGGGACCGGTTCAGATCTCTCTCGCCACAGACGTTAGCCACGAGTGGGAAACAAGCTCAGGTGGTTGGGTTCAAAGCGCAGTGTGCTAACTGCTGCTACAGCTGTGCCTCTGTTTTATGTTGTCAGCTCCTGATTTTCACTCAATCTGCTTGACTCAAGATTGAGTTCCTGTGGGACTGGCTTAGTGGTAGCCGAGTGGAGAAGTGGTCCTGGTACCAGTGTGTGCCGTGTTTAGTTGTAAAACACCGTGCGGCATGCTAGTGGTAATACCGGGCTGGCTGCGCTGTGCGCGGGGCCGCAGCGTGCCCCAGCGCCCGTTGACACACTGCGCCTCCTCCTCGGGCTCGCGTGGCGAGCGGCGGGGAGACTGGCTTTTGTGGTCGCCCAGTCGGATGGGCGCCGGCACGGCGGGCGGGCTGGTGCTGATGGGCGATGGGCGTGAGTGCAGGCTGGGGCTGAGCGGCGCCTTCCCACTCGGTGCCTGGCTGAACACCACCACGCAATCTCCCACCTGCAGCAACGCGATCACACACACACGCACGCACACGCCGTCGCCCACACCCCGGTTAGGAAGCGATTCAAGTAATTGGCTAATTTTGTTTACGAATCGAATACGATTACAAACCGTCGCGCTTTTGAGTGGTCCGATGGGAGGAGATGAAACGGCATTTGCAACGCACGACATTACAACTGCTGATAAAAAAAAACATACCAAGGTGACATTGTTGCCGATCGTTGAGCTTTTTGGGCCTGTGCCCGGCAACCGTGACTTTAAAATAGATTAAGTCGCAGCACACATTATTTGCTTTGTCATGATTTTCAACAGGTTATATCGATATAGAGTGTCTATAAAGGTATCAGCTATTTTTATATAAATATATAATGGTTTGAGGTAGATCCCCACGGTGGCGAGGCGTTAACTACCTCGCCTGGCACTGGCGGAGCCAGTGGGGGGGGTGGGGTGGCACGTGCCCCCCCCCCCAATGATCCGATCGAAATTAGGGATTTCGATCGGATCATTGGTGTTTATTAGTAATAATTTGGCATTTTGCGACTCCCACTGCCACTGAGTAGCATATTATTATGTGCCAGGGACTCTATGAGACTTTAGGACAACAGTCCGAGTCCATAATTGGCAATAAGTAAAGGCAAAGCAGTTATAAGTGACTCACAGAATTGTGCGCAGTTGCGTGTACAGTACACGACTTCCCTGAAGGCATCAACACCTTCAGCGAGCGCGATGCCGATCACACAACGCGGTTCGGATTCGACCCTCGAACGATGGCTGCGCCATCGCCGCACACGTTACGGATAAAAAGCAAGGGACAAGTCCTTACTTACTAACAACTATAATTTTTCATTGCTGGAGGGGTTGCCCCCCTACCTGAAAATCCTGGCTCCGCTATTGCCGCCTGATACACAGGAGGCCTTGGGTTTGATCCCGACCCCGATGCCTGTATATTGCATGTTCTCCCCGTGGTTGCATGTATTTTTCTCTGGGTCCTGCAATTTTTCCCTCCACATTAAAAAACATAACTTCAGAGTATTTGGCTGTTATAAATTTCCTCATGATAAGCCACTTCATTTCGCTACAGCTTGTGGCCAGGTCGCTCCTGCATATGAGCTATAAAGCTCAGTGGGCCTTACCTAGTAAAATTAAAATATTTTTATAGTTCAATAAAACTACTAACATACACACTTAATTAATATACGCGTATAGCCCTAAGTCAATGTTAATCAAATGCTGGATGAAGGCCTCCCTCAGCTGTGTCGGTCACAGGAATTATTTGACCTTACCACCCCAACACTAGTCAGTGTGCACGCTAATACTTCAATGTTGACATTGAAAAGGCACACTACATTCTGGAGACAAGACTCAGTTGTGTACCCCAGTACGTTGGCATGCTGGCATGCTCCCAGGCAAGGCAGACTGAGACTGGCACACACCTTGCATGCAGGGTGGCACCAGAGCTCGGGAGCGCAGTGCTCTTCGTTGACAACCTCCAGCTGCTGCCAGTGCCAAGGCTGCACGTCCAGCAGAAGCAGCCATGCGTCCTTGAACACCTGCAGTGTGCGCACATCACCCTTAGCCAATAGCGTCGCTCTATACTTACACGGTGATGCACCAAAGCAGCCCGCTGAGCTATGGCCCGTCGAGACGAGCAGAGATACAGAAGGGCGAGATGAAAGAGATATGAACAAGAGAAATAGATAAGAGAGCCGAAGCCAAGAGATGAAGATTAGTGAGACCAACAAGAACTAGGCAAGAGGTAGAGGTGAGAGAGATGTAGACGAGAGATAAGGATTGTGATATGTATGTGAGATAGACAAAAGACCTGAAGAAAAGCGGTACACAAGTGGTAACACGTACAGATGTTATGACGTTAAAATGCTACACGACCTGCATCCTGACATTTCATTCACTCGCTGGGGACTGCGGTGGTTATGTCTGGTACATACCCATGACCGTTACGCTATGGGATCATGGAATCGCATATTCTTTGGAGACAATGAACGTAAGAATAGATTTTCCATCACATACCGAACAATTACACTTTGGCTTTATGCTGCATCAATGTGAAAACTTTATGAATAAGAGATGCAATTGTATATCTTTATTACTTTGAAAGAGATCAAATTGTGATATGTCTGAGCAAGCACACAGAGTACAAGCACCACAATCATGCAGGGAATGACTTTTAGCATGATCAAAAACCTGCAATGGAAGAAAAAGACACACTCACAGCATTGGGGCCTCCGCAGCCACCTAGGATCAGGATTGTCTGATCATCCAACACAATCTGCAACAAGAAAAACCACACACCTATGAGATTCCCAAGAATACATTGACATATCGTCTCCTCTGCATGCAAGACATTCTCCCCTGCCTTATGCAAAATATAGCCTTCTCTTGTGAGAGTTGGAAAAAACAATACTTTTGGTCAGAATTCAAACAAAAAACACTGATAGTATATGCATTGTCTTTGAAATTGATTGGTCCACACCAGAGACAGATTTCTTTTGAGCCTAGTCTCAAAACGGTGTTAGACCCCAGAGGACGCTAAAAGGTGTACACAGCACAAAGACAACGCCACTATCAGAGTAATGACAGCTCGGGGTGAGCAGCTACATCATGGAACCTCCTTTGCCATCTTCACACCTGTTTGTTGCCAGAAAAAAGGGGAAAACCTTTTCTTATATTTTGGTACTGGCAAAGGAGGTCCCATGATGTTGGAAAAAACACTTTATAAAAAGTATATCCTAGGAGATGCAGCAATTTTCGGTTAAGCTAGCACAAGCGTTTCTGCCTAGGAGTTCACAAAGGCAGACATGATCGTGAGATCAAAGTTGTGTGATAAGTTCATCCTAACATCGGCAATTTCCAGCTGATAAAAAGGATGATCGGGGAGCCAAATATTGGTTCACGCAAATAGGGTAAAAAAATATCACCAGGATCACATTCGATGCATACCGAAATGACATTACAATACAACGTTAAGATGATTTTGAAAAATAATATTGGATGCCGATAATGACAACGAACAACAATGAGCATAAAAATTACGATGGATGATGATGACATAATAATTATGAAATTAAATAACAATGAGGATGAAGACAATTATGATAATAATACTAATCACGACTATTGCCAGTCGTTATTGGTAAACAGTGCATTAACTGCTGCCATTATTGATTAGGACGAAGATGAATTGAACTGCGTTAAGTCGTCGCTATCATTACTGGTCATTGTCGTCAAGGCGGTTTGGCGAGATTGGTGTTGGAAGTAAGCTCGGAGAGGTCGGTGACCAAGCGGCAACATCCCTAGGGTGTCCCTAAATGATTAATTCATTTCGAAAATAAATACAATTAAGACTGCAGCTTGAGCTAGGTCGATAAAACTACACCCACGTGCACACTATTGCCAGTATGAAAATATTTTCTTTCGAGTCATCCCTCGAATCGCTGAGTCTCACGTCCACCAAGGGCATTGGTGGCACACATCGCAGTGAGATTTGAGTGTGCCAGGTGTTTGCCAACATCTCAGCTGTGATTGTTTCAAATGCTTATAGTTTTAACCACGAAAAAAACACTTCTGCTTGGTAACCAGAATAAAATGCATTAAGTTGCCAACTTTCAACACAGATGTGAGGTAAAGTCCATTTGTTTAACCAGGGGAGAAGACAAGACACCAGGAAAGTCTAATTTGCACTCGTGACCTCGTCAAAACGGTAAGCAGCAGGTGGCCAAAATTACAAAAAAGCAAAACAAATTAAATAAAAGTACAACGATGAAGTAAATATAAACCAGTGGTGCAATAATGACACTTGCCTGGGACTGGCCTCCACGAGGCTGAGGTTTGGTGCCGGTGACAGCAGGCCGTGACCAGGCCCACTGCTCCAGGTCCAGCACCCACACTTCGTTGTTCCTAACGCACGGCAATCAAACGTCACACATACGTAGCCGATTGCCCATACACAGCGGAGCATCAATTGCCCGGCAAAAGCGACATCCTTATTCACACTAATGTTCCACATTAACCCTATGTTAATAAGCAGTATGCTCATTAAAATCTTCTCTGACAAAATCACCCAAAATTATCGAAATTCTGTCAAATCTTGGAAGCAAAGCAGTTTTGAGACCAACTAGTGCTTCGATGCACACTACTACAACAGTGGACTGGACAAAGAGCAATACATTCACACCACATGTGTTATATAGGCTACAGCTATGTCTCCACATTTAAGTTCCCTCGCATTCACTAATGCGTGCTGACCAGCGTGGAGAAATTTAGTCAAATAACCCTCCTGACCCACGTAGCCACAAGGCCCTCATCCAGCAGTGCATTGACACAGGGCTGCAAATTTACACATTCAATTTAAGCCGAGTTAGTTTAAATATTTGATTGCAAAAAAAGGATTGTACCATAACATATAACGTACCATAAATGCTACCTGATATTGGCTTTCAACACAAACGCCAATAATCCTGTTAAAGCGAAGAGACTGTTTAAGAAAGTGCGTTTAGTGTACACCTATTAAAGGCCAGCATGGCACTCAGGGGAATGGTGGGAACAGCACTAGATTCTGGCCACCTGTTTCCACAGTGATTAAACTGATGTATTCAACCAGGTACAGTACTTGTTTTAGGCAAAATGGAAAGCAGCAGAGGTCAAGGCCCATTCCAGATCCCTACTGTGATGGCCAGTTCTGTGCATGGCTAGTGATAAAACCAAGGTCTTATATACATAGCTTATAGCTATTTGTCAAACCACTGCTGAATGAATGTCTTCCCTATGTTGTACAAATCATGTGGGGGTTGGGGTTGTTTGGCCATACTTCATCATGCTAGTGGGCACTGGTTCATGTATATCACTCACCAGCAATTTTAGTTGGAGCTAGGAAATTAACTTAAAGGTTGCTGGGTCCATGGTATAGTACTGCACCCAATCAGTGCACAAAAATAATCCTTAGCCTTCAACAATAACCCCCCACACACACTGGCCCTGATACACATCTGACATGTATGCAAAGACTCACATTTGCCGGGATCCCAAGGAGCCTCCAAAAACAATCATCTTATTGCCGATAACAGAGGCCGAGTGCCCGGCCATTGGCGGTGGCCCCTGTGTAGTCACAACACAATTCCACCTGCGCCAGATGGGACATAGAGCAACACTGGTCACCTGCTCCACCGGGTTATGATGTTTTGCAAGAGTGGTCGATTTTATTTTAGTCAATCAACAATACAAAAAAACTAAAACATTTTCTGTGTCATTCCAGCTACATTATGCAACATTCTAGTGGGAACAAAAGAAGAAAAGACGAGAGGAACAGAGGGAAAACCATCGAGCAAAAATTCACAATCATGATCCGGAACCAACCATGTATCAACTATCACAGGAAAACCCATAGCTGATGACTTTTAAGTGAGATTGATATCTTGAGTGTTGCTATTTATGAAGGGAGCAAAGTATGGTTAGACAAGCGAGAGCTACATGGCTCTACTCTGGTACACGAGCAATGTATTTCCAGTGAAAATCTCATGAAGACTTATGTAGCGTTACGTTAGTGTGGCAGTCACGGGATACAGGCACGATACAGGTGCACGGGAATGGTACATATTTGATGAAGTTGCTTGTTTGTGTGTATGTTTATGTGTTTGTGTGATACAGGTATATGGTAACAGGTGTGATTTAAGTGTTGTGCATTGTGCAAGCGTGGTGCAGGCATAAGGGCAGCTGTGGGCACATGTGTGAGTGTTCCAACGTGGTTTTGTGAGCTTGTACCAGTTCTTGGAGGGAGAGTAGGTGTGGATCTCATCAAAGAATCGTTCAGGCTGGTGCAGGGGGTAAGGGCTGGGCCGTGTCCATCCTCCAAAGAGAACCAGCAGGTCCCCGTGTACCACCAATGTGGCGCCCGCTTTGGGGGATGGGTACGAGCCTGGTGTACACACGCAAACACAAATATTGTACCCACGGACGGAGCCAGTGGGGGGGGTGGGGTGGCACGTGCCCCCCCAATGATCCGATTGAAATCCCTAATTTCGATCGGATCATTGGGCTTTATTAGTAATAAATCGGCATTTTGCGACCCCCACTGCCACCGTGTAGCATATTATTACGTGCCAGGGACTCTACGAGATGATAGGACAATAGTCTGAGTCCATAATTGGCAATAAGTAACGGCAAAGCAGTTATAAGTGACTCACAGAATTGTGCGCAGTTGCGTGTACAGTACACGACTTCCCTGAAGGCATTCACCTTCAGCGAGCGCGATGCCGATTACACACGGTTCTAATTCGACCCTCGATCGATGGCTGCGCCATCGCCGCACACGCGTCGAATAAGGGACAAGTCCTTACTTGCTAACAACTCCTCTATCATTTTTCATTGCTGGAGGGGTTGCCCCCCCTACCTGAAAATCCTGGCTCCGCCTTTGATTGTATCCACTTTTTTTACAAATTTTATTTCACCAGGTAAGGCCCACTGAACTATACAGCTCTTTTTTAGACCTGGCCACAAGTGATGGCTCGACGAATTGGCTTACCACGTGAAAATGTATCATGTGGAAATTTATATAAATATGGAGGAATAAAACCTGAGAAAACGGACATGCAAACTCCAAATATACAGGCATCAGGGTCAGGATGGAACCCACGACCTCCTGCATACCAGGCGAGGTAGTTAACATCTCACCACTGTGGTACCATATTCTTGGATCTTTCGGTAAAGTCACGTAGATAACTTATCTACGTTGACTGTACCGAAAGACCCAAGAAAATTAATTTCTGCAGTCACGAAAGCTTTAAGTCACTGTGGTACCCTTAACATCAAAGATCCCCTGTGCAGCCTTTAACAGACTTGGAAGCAAGTGCCGTTCACAAGCACTTATGGAGGCTGGCACAACTCAAGAGGGGGTGGGGTGGCCAACACCACACCCACTGTCTGTCTCCTCGATGACCGAAAGTGAAAAGTCCAAAACCAAGATTACGACACTGACCAGAGGCCAGCGGTCGGATCCACTCCTTGCTGTTGAGGTCGAGCCGCCACAGGTCGTTGAAGGCAGCGTTACAGCTGCTGTGCGTGCAGCCCCCAAACACGTACATGGAGTGGTTTGTGTCGTAGTAGCAAGCACCTGCATTAAAAAAAAAAAACGTCGGCGTTATTCAGGGTTATATACCAACAAAAACAGTGGGGAAATCACAATTTTAAGTGCTATGAAGAAGGACCACTGCCTGAAATGTAACCTACTTTTCCCTATGGAGAGTGTTTTTGATGAATGTGTTGAATTTTTCGATTATTACTCTGCCCATTTATGGTTCGATTACTCGATTATTCAAGCATAGATGGGGGAAAGAAGTCTCATATCTATGCTGTTTAGTGGGTGTCACAGTATATTGTTTGAATCTGCTTCCACACCCCTACAAGGTGTTTTGTGTGAGATGTGCCGTGTGATGTGACGAAGAAAGATGTCATGACGTGTGTGCGTCTTACTGTGAGAAGCAGCGGGTGGTAGGTGTGACAAAATAAGACAATGCAATGTGTGCATCATACTCAGAAGCACTGTATAAATAAGTGTGGCAAGGTTAGATGACATTCATGTGTGTGCATCTTACACAGTGGGAGAATCACTGTAATGGGTGTGACAAAGTGAAACCATCTGAGCAAGTGCAAGTAATCTTTATTATTTTTTAAATGCTTTCTCCAAATTCTATCAAGACTGTGCTGTCAACGTCATGTCAAGCATCGAAGCATCCATTCGGAACTCTCGCACAGAAGTGAAACCCTTCGTGTTAGAGAATGGCCCACGGAAGCGGATAAAAGAGCTATGTCTGAGAACCCTTTAAGTGGTCTATGGTCCACACAGAAGAGGGCAGCACTGTCCTAGCCGCTTTGCCATTTGAAAGTAATATTTGCCAAACAAGAACCACGTGAAAGAAAAGACCTGTGATAGATGTGCAAATGCAGGACAACTTTTTCAGGTGTGTACATTATTCTGAGCGAGTATTACTGGGTAAGAGCTGTGATAAAGCAACACAATATGATCACGTTTGTGCATGTGTGTGTGTGCATGTGTGTGTGCATACGCGAATCTTACTGTGAGAGAAGCGCTGCGTGATGGGTGTGCCGGGATAGGGGTATGTACGACTCTCCCACTGAATGCGTCCGTCCTGCACAGCTCGAATAAACCCGTGGTAGCACTGCCGTGCAACACCTGCAATGCACACACAAAAACACGCACCTGCTGTTAGATGATCAGGCCACACAACAACAACAACACACACCACACTTAAGAGCACACCCGAATTGCGTCACACCCAAGAACCATGTCCCACACCTCCAATAAGCAAGAATGCCGATAAACGGTGCGAAAAAAGTTCAACAAATATAAAAGTCGCGTCACACCCACAGTGCCACACGTTCTGCTACAGCAGAACAGCACACATTGGATTACATCCATTCGACCGTGAAATTAAACTCTAAATCACAGTGTTCCTCCAACAGTAGCTCGTGACCCTGGAAGGGGTTGTGGGAGAAGTTCGTGCCCCTATCATTCTGCCTGTGGCTCGTGTTTCTCTCTCCCAGTCATCTTCGGCACCTCGTTAATCTTCACCCATGTCTCCACTTGTCTCTGGTGACGTCTTTTTGTCCGCTTCTCTCCCGTCTTCTCTCCTCGTACATATCTCATGTCTGTCTTCCCGCACCTCTCTATTCTCATATTTCCACTCAAGCGTATCTGATATTAAGAAGCCACTGGAGCGATGCGCTTTAAATCTAGATCGAAAACCAATATCTTTAGGACAGTTTGTTGTGTTTAGTTTGTTGTCCGACCCCGCACCTCCGATTAACACAATTTGGCTACGTATGGTGCAAAGGAAGTTCGATATAATACATCTCCTTTGGTTTAGCTATCCTTGTCTCTACATCTTTTAATCTTGATTTGAAGCTTTCGTGACTGCAGGAATCCATACTCTTTGGTTCTTTCGGTAAAGTCACGGAGGTAGAAAATAAAATAAATTAAATCACGACGTTTCGGGCGGAACCACAAGCGTCCATCATCAGGTGGGAAAGCATGGTCTGCTGCTGAGGCAGACTGTTTAAATTTAATTTTATACCTACGTGACTTTACCGAAAGAACCGAAGAGTATCTACATCTTTTCTTCTGGAATCCCTCCCCATCTCCCGTTCATGCCTCTCTCAATTCGTCTCTCCTCTCTCATCTTTATTTGTTTATTTTTGTCTCCTTATCTCTGTCCTTCTGTCTGCTCTCGTGTTTCTTTATACCACATACAAAAACCTACGCAGCGTTGCCAATGTCGAATGCATAATGCACCCCAAAAATTTAGGGTATTTATTTTGTTAAAGTGTGTCTTATAATTCAATGAAAAATACTCTGAAGTTAATTAGAAATAAGAAATTTTAAAAAACTTTTTTTAAAACACGCTTTTATGAAATGTACTAGTAATGGAAGAACTCCACGACTCCAGGAAGTGGCCCCGAAGCTTGCCATAACGTAAGGGACCGTGGCCAATTACAGCCAACGTCAGTTGACCGTGGACAATTAGACCCAAGCCGAAACATAACATACAGTATGACATAAGTATACCAAGTTTGCAGTCGATACCACATTGGGAAGTGGGTTAAAATTGAGTTACAAGATTTGAGGATATAACAACGACAACAGACAGAGTAAATTAAATGAAAGCATGTAAAAAAAAAACGTTGCTATGGAGAGCCATCTTACAGAAGATTACAATTAATGTGCTGCTTAAAAGGGGGATAAATATATTTTGAAAGATGATTCTGAAAATAATTGTGAAACATTAGATTACTACACATCTTCCAGAAGACAATGTATCCGCTGGATCAGCGGTGGCCAAACGGCGTCTCCCGAGCCAAATGCATCTCTTTAATCCACCACATGCGGCTCTATTGAAGGGACATAATGGAGAACATATTATCAGAGGAGCAAAGTATGATGAATGTCTCCCAATGCCGAAAACTGTTTATATATATACACACACACTTGGCTTTTTGCAGAATTCATGGGTACTTTTTGGCTCTTGGTCTGTAACACATTGGCCACCCCCGCTCTGGATTATAAGACAACTATGCCAACTCTTGCTTTAAAATACAGGAGAGGAAAAATATGTGCGTGTTATCTGGAGAACATGGTGTTGCTGCTGGCCGTTGAGCAAACCAACCTTTAATGAGGCGGTGCCACTGCTTGCACACAAGCGCGGCCGTCTTGTGCTGCTGGTAGGGAGACAGGAATGCCAGGATGTACTCCAGGAGCTCCTCCGGGAGCTCCCAAACCGATCGCTCGTGCTGCTGCTGCACCGCTCCACAAACCCCCAGGCCTGGCCTGTCGGCCGACTCCTCCACATCCATGGCCTCCCCACCTGCCTCCATCGCCGCGGTAGCGCCGGGCCACTCGGCCACGCCGCCGAGTGGGAGGCTCACATCCTGCATGTCCTCAGAGTCGGGGTAGTAGGGCTCCTCTTCACTGTCGGACGAGCTCGCCATGCTGCCCCTGTGCGGTGGTCACATTGAGGGCATGCACGCGCACACACAAATATATATAAATTCATAATGAAATATATATGGGATGTGCCACTCAGTACACACGAGGGGAGACCGCCCCCCCCCCCCGCGGGAGCACCAACCAAACCCCCCACCTCCCACCACTGCCTATTCCGAATAATTTCCACTCACAATGGAATGAAAAGTCACAATTCAGAGTTGTGATTCGATCCAAGAATTTGTTTCTTTTTTACCACTGTGGTGAATGTAGTATGTTTGTTGAACGTCTTTTGCACCGTATGTAGCCAACCATAGTGGCCCCCAGTGGATAGTCTCACATAACCCTTTATAAAGTAGTATGTATATTCGGTATTCGCACTATTATTTTAGTGCAAGGCTATCATTAAAGTGCTATGCTTCAAGAAAGAATATGTTCTGCAAATAGGGGGACTATGGTGCCATGTGGTTGCTCAATTTTAGTAACTTGCAAAAATTGTCTTATTGCTTGGCAATGTCACTGCACCGAGGCCATCATCCTCCAAATCTACAATTATTAAAGGACTATGATGGTAGTAGTGCACTAGCCACAATTCAATATCAATCCAAAAATTATTCATTAACATTGAATTTTACTGGCAAAAATATATGATGGGCTCATGTTTCAGGCAGTGTATAATGTTAATTAAGCGATAAAATGGAAATGTCGTAAGCTTAATATTTGATACTAATCGAGTCAATACATCACGACACCCCTGTTACAAAGAAAAAGATCCCCTGTGTAGCCTTGAACAGACTGTTGGGGCACGTGCTGTTAGCGAGCACGTATGAAGGCTGGCACATCACACGAGGGGGTGGGTGGCCAGAACCACGCCCGGCTGCCTTTGTCTCCCGAGTGGTGATGTTTGCACATCGCACCAGGTACTCACTTGATGCCGAGTTTACCTAAGGTAGGCCCAGAACGAGTTCAGATAATAATCACTGGTGTTGGCCATGAGTGGGAATCCAACTCAGATCGCCAGGTTCTTGTTGGTCCCACAAATCTTCTTGTGGCTGTGAGCCAAACTAAAATGTGTTTTCTGGCTTCATGCAGCCTTGAGAGCACATTTGACATTGGCGGCATAAATATTTGTCAGCAGCCATCAGCACACTCTGCTTACATATCTATATAAATATCTGGGGGGGGGGCGTTTAGTGGAATTTTAGGAAAAGTGGCGCAGTGGTGAATGTACTGCGATACGAACCCAGTGGCCCATTGTTCAATTCCCAGACACAGCTGCTTGCACTAGTGATGAGTAACATTTAAACTGGACCAGGACCACAACTTTACAAACCCACGCTGATCAGCCTGGTGAAGTATGGTTAAGCAACCCATTTGACCAGCACAGGACGGGGAAGAGGCTTTCATCCAGCAGTAGATTGACGATCTACTGTAAATAATTCTTAATTATAGGTCTCTACAGCACAACTGCAGAAACCTACGCTGTATCATTATAAATAAGTGTTATTATTATAAAGGGGAACGTAATGCATAACATTTTTAACAAGTTTGTTTAATGCCAACCAGGAAAATTAAGGACAATCTTACTCTCGCCAGAAAAATACAATTTGTTGGAAAGAACGGATGTCATATTGACAACTTTAAGGGTGACGCCTAAGCAACGTGTGGCACAGCGGTTACAGTCCGCGAAGGTGAGAGTTCAGATCCCGGTCGGGTGTCAACTCAGCCCTTCATCACTCTGGGGTCCATAAAATGAATACACCTCTTTGTGGGGAAGTACAACAGCGGTTGTCCTATTGATTAACTTGCCCTGCCACAGGAATGTGAAATTTCTCATACCACTGGCTTCAGGGCTGTAAACAGGCGATGAGAATCTCAATTTGACATGGAACCCTATGTGAAAAGCACTGTGATGCAAAATAACACAGGCACTTTCAATTGTAAAAAAACAATATACTGTATAGCACTCTGTAATTCCACTGCTGGCTATCCTTGAGGGAACTTAACTCGGGTGGTGAACATTTTGGAGGGGGTGGGAATTGGATAGAGGTAGTTTGGCTAAAGCCACTCAAAACATAGTCAACTTCTGTGACTCTTATAGGCTTGTCTCCAAAAACGGTATGTCTATGAAAACCAGAGTTTTCAAAGACATAAAAGAATACAAACATTTTACAGGCGTGCCTAAAATATTGGAAAGTAGCTTATATCTTCACGAAATGTACCTGTACAATCCTATTGTCAGTCGACTGCTGGATGAGGGCCATGCCATTCGGGCTATCAGGGTTATTTGACCCTACTTCACAGCGCTGATCAGTGCGGGTTGAACGTCAGGAGAATATATGAGGAAGCATAGCAGTACAGCAAAATAATTGATTTTTCTGTACTGCCTTGCAAAGCCTACAATGTAGCTCTGCATCTTGGCAGTGTAGTTTAGAATTAAGGAGTAATTTAAAGTTGCTGGTACACATGTATGATCATATAATAATATTATTGTCGTGTAGGTCAGCAGAGTGAAGGTAAATTTACTAAAATTGTGTGATTAAGCATAGTTATATGGATGCTTGATAGGAAAGTTTTAGATAGTAGGAGCAGCTCAACACGGGAATATGTATCGTGAGTTAAGTATGCAGGTAGAGCTTCGTAGATTTAAAGACAATCCGTGGGAGATTGTAAAGGTGATTAAAGGCCATGCAATATTATTAAAAGAGATGATGGCCAGTGGTCGAGACAAACCACAGTGACAAGCAAAGGATGGATATGCATTGTTGCATCACGAGACCCTATGAGATGATGGCAGCTTGGGGGTTGCCTTCATCCATAAGTACATAGATCATGTTTGATTAATTGTTTAAATCTGAAATTGATCCAATTCATTGGCATGTATCAATAATATCTTTGTAAACTTGACAATCTTGTTGGGTGGTGGAGTGGAAGGTGGGGGGGGCAGGAATGGCCCACTGGTGTTAGCTATGGCCAGGTATCGGAACTAGGGGCGATCAGTTTAGAACAGCGCTCAAACAACTGTGCCACTGCACCACGCCACAAGTATTTAACAAAATAAACTCGCCACATGATTTAGAAATTTATCTATACATGCAAATTCATTATTTTTTCAATGCCTATCATTTTCAGTAGAAAAAAATGATTATATTCAACGGTGTAGAAAGGATATCTCGACCCAAGCCAAGTAACCGAGTGATATTTTTTTTTATCCGAATCACAGGAGCAGGGTTAAGTGACAAGTGTCGCTTTTGTTGATGTCAAGAGGTTACGTCCGATGTTCACCCTCATCACATTCCTCTTCATCTTAAATGCAGTATTTTGCCCTTAGAGGTTTGGTAGTAAAAACATAAAAGTACACGTTACATTGTTTTCGCTCTAAGGGTTGAAATTAATAGTCCCTTTTGTAAAACTTCCTTTTTCAGCTTTTCACGAATGACTCGCACAACACCATTTACTCCGCTGCAACAGAATATTCATTTTTTACCATGTTTTGTAAAGACGAGCACACAATGTTAAATTCGGCCAGTTCCAACCCTATGTTAGTAAACCGGAATCGTGTTTTTCTTCCTCGCTCTGATACCCGCAGGTAATTAACCTATTATGATTCCGTGCATGACAATGAAAGTTAATTGACCGAGGGGGCAGGGCTCAGGGTGGGTACACATTGCGGTAGCACGAATATGCGTAGAGACACACTAAAAGCTCACCAACCCTCACTTAGCAGGTTGGTGAAGTACGGTTATAAAAAACTCCCAAAGACCGGCACGGTGTGTGGTAGCACTGCAAACCCAGCGACTAGAGATCAATTCCCGCTCACGGTCAACACTCAAGGAGATTATTTGCAACGGTCCTGGGCCTCCAATAGGTCGACTCGGCCTCAAGTGCGTACTTGGTGTGGTTGTTAATTCAGCTATCCAAGTCATAAATCTACATAAACAATTGTGGGACTGAAGGCTGCAGCAGTTGTTCTTCAGCAGTAAGAGGATGCAGAGGTTTGATGCTCACAGCCAAGGAGAAGAACAAACACAAGGCTGCTAAAACATAGCAAGCTGACGGGTAGGAGTACAGGTTGCGCATTCACCAGTTTTCCTTGGTCGGTTAACCTAAAACATCTACGCCTTTTCCGTGACCTCTGGTGAGTGAGCTTTGGCCACGTCACGGCGCCTCGAATGTTAACCTAGCATGGCACAAGCACCATGGTAACATCAACACCATTCAGTAGCAAATGGAGGTTGTTTTTGTATATGCATTTGTATGTGTATCCATGCGTGCTTTTATTACGCTTCAATTGGTTCGCTCCGAGTATAATCTGGCCAAATGTTTGGTTAAGCCAGAGCAGAAAAATCCTTCTCTCTGGTGTAACACTAAATCATGATGACATGCAGGCTGAAGAAGGGCAAGCTGCCTAGATAGGCGCTGGAGTAGCAACGAAAGATGGGCAAGCAAGAGGAAACATTAAACCAGATGGGAGGATACTGGAAAGGCAATCCTGGAAAGGCAATCCTGGGAGCTCCAGTAACAACTGTGTAATGTGCATTAGGAGGTGTAGGAGCCTCTTGTGCAAAGCTGTAGGGTCTGATAGAAAGTTGCAATGGTGGGGAGTCGTAGGACCAACAACTCGACCTTGACCTTGAGACACGTGTGTAATATGTGAAGGGAGGACATCTGTGCTCCACTGCAGCTGCAGATTTCAGAAACCCCTTGAGAAGTTGCAGAGGGGATTTAGCAACAACGTGAGGCAGTCCAGAACTTCGCAGGTGGACATCAACACACTGTGGGATAGATTTGAAGAGGTGGGAAAGGGGCGAAAAAGGACTCAATTGGTTGGCTCCACATTCATGAGAAGGAATTACGCCATGCCTCTGTGGCATAATCCACATCCACTACATTTAAATTGGGATTGGCTTCCACTGCATCGCATATTATGCGATCCACCCATTCCTCATGATAGACACACAAATAAGCAGAATGAGCAACGACATGGTGGACTGTGAATAGTCTTCAATGCA